TATATATCTATATCTATCTATATATCTATCTATATATCTATATCTATCTATATATCTATATCTATCTATATATCTATATATATATATATCTCATGTACAAACATTGGCTATTCCACTGGAGCGTGCAGAGGGACAGCAGACAGAGGAGACCACTGCAGCTACTGTCAGGCACCGGCCCCTGAGAGCCGGGGACATTACACACCCACACCGGACATGATCCAAGTGGAACCTTTGTAAAAACCTACCAACATGTTGAAATAGTATGGGGAATTCTGGCTGTAAATCTGAAAGGCGGATTTGTTCCCAGCTCTTCGTCTGTGCTTTCTGTTGCAGACACAAGAAGATTAAAACTCACTGCTTCACACACATGTTGGGACAAACAGACCCAACCGAGGCCACATGTCCTCGATAATTCCACTAAAATGCTCAGCTCTGTAAACAGCACACTAGTTAAGTGTTAAGCCTCCACAGTGGGATTATGTGTTATTATAAAACAGCTTTTCAACTGTGCACCTCAAAACTCCTGGAGATTATCTCTAATGTGCATGTCCTATATTACACCACATCTACAACAGAAACTGGCTTTATATACTCTTACTAGCACCAAGAAGAATCCTCGGTGCATTTCATTTATTTATTTCGCCAAAGGCAAACAGTGGGGCAGTGAGGGTGGTAGGCTACAGAAATAATATAGCTTTCATAACGTTTTATTTGTTTGGCGAATATAACATATGCCTAATTTATCAATATATATCAGGGATTCAGTAGCGGTTTTATATCACGTCCTAGGATGTGTTTGCGTTTACCTTCAATCGAGGACATAATAATGACAAACATTTGAAATGGAGTTTGGTGGCGGGGTTCTTCCCACAAGAGCAGCACCACGTGATGAACAGGAAGGCATCACAGCCACACCAGCATTGAATACTGGCTAACAATGCACTGCATTACCTTATTAAATAGGTCGCAATGAACTTCCCTTTTAACATCAATGTAGCAACAGCGTTGAGCGAAAAACTCGCACACGTACCCGACCAACTCCAGGAGAAGACTGTTGAGGCTGACTCCAGCTGATGATTTCGCCCGCATCAGTGCAAAAATCTGGGGGAACTTCAGCACCATGCACACGGCCAGCGTGCTGAAATTGGCAGCGTGCAACAACGTATCGGACGACATTTTCCAAACACGGAAATAACTAGATATGAGCTTTAGATTGTCAGATCTCAGAGGATTTAGCTAAAAGAAACGGCCAGATGCTGCTGCTGCTGCTGCGCTGTCACCACCGTCAAGGTGGATTCATTTAGAGGACTCTTCCCTTTCGTACTTTCCAAGTAAAAGAGAGCAGAGCTTTTTCTTTTTTTTTAATCCTGCCAAAATATTTCATGCAGTAAAAATGTAAAAGCAAAAGATGGAGATTTGAATGTACGGTAAGTCTCAAAAGCGACACTTCTTCCAAATTGTTCTTGAAGCAAGCTAGCCTTAGCCAGACTACTTATTTTGAAGGGGCAGTTGTTTGATTCCCTTTATTATTCTGTGAATGTTTCGTGTCAGCCGGTGCTGTTCTTCACCTCACTTCCGCATACATCCACTGAACGCTGATTGGCTCAGCCGAGCACACACGTTAGACCAGGGGTCACCAACCTTTTTGAAACTGAGAGCTACTTCAAGGGTACTGAGCAGTACGAAGGGCTACTTGTTTGATACAAACTTCATGAACAACAAAGTTGCACAGATCACCTTTTAACAATAATAATATATGTGAAGAGTCTGATCACATGTCAATGTTAATTATTCCTCACAATAATTATTAACAATGATTGTGTATTTTGTTCAAAATCTCACCTGTTATATTTTTGTAAAAATGATAATTTCTAAAAAAAATTAGGAAATCATTAACTGTCATATCTTCAAATCATGACTCGTTTGTACTAACCACTACCTTCGTAACATTTTTGAACAAATCATGAACTCTGTCTCTGCTGTTTGCAGATGATGTGGTCCTGTTAGCCTCCTCGGATCGTGACCTCCAGCATTCACTGGGGCGGTTTGCAGCCGAGTGTGAAGCGGCGGGGATGAGAGTTAGCACCTCTAAATCTGAGGCCATGGTTCTCTGCCGGAAACCGGTGGATTGCTCCCTCCAGGTGGGGACTGAGTGCCTACCTCAAGCGAAGGAGTTCAAGTATCTCGGGGTCTTGTTCACGAGTGAGGGTAAGATGGAGCGGGAGATCGACAGACGGGTTGGTGCGGCTGCAGCAGTAAAGCAGGCGCTGCACCGGACCGTCTTGGTGAAGAGGGAGCTCTCAAAAGCTCTCAATTTACCACTCGGTCTACGTTCCTACCCTCATCTATGGTCACGAACTCTGGGTCGTGACCGAAAGGACAAGGTCGCGGCTACAAGCGGCCGAAATGAGTTTCCTCCGTAGGGTGGCCGGGCTCAGCCTTAGAGATAGGGTAAGGAGCTCGGTCATCAGGAGGGAGCTTGGAGTCGAGCCGCTACTCCTTTGCTTCGAAAGGAGTCAGCTGAGGTGGTTCGGGCATCTAATTAGAATGCCTCCTGGACGCCTCCCACTGGAGGTTATCCAGGCACGTCCAACTGGGAAGAGACCCCGGGGAAGACCCAGAACACGCTGGAGAGATTACATCTCCCAGCTGGCCTGGGAACGCCTCGGGATCCCCCAGAATGAGCTGGAACATGTTGCCGGTGAGAGGGAGGTCTGGGTCGGCCTGCTTGGCCTGCTGCCACCGCGACCCGACCCCGGATAAGCGGTGGAAAATGGATGGATGGATGAACTCTGTCCCATGTTTATACAAATTATCTGTTATGTAGAATAAAAAAAATCAACTCTTTCACATTTTTAAATGAATCCTATTACATTAGTACTAATCACCACATTTTGGGAAGTCTGGGTCAACTTTGCATTGCGCAATGAAGCCTGCATGCAGGCCTGTAGTCTTTAGTCACCAGCTTTTTTTTGGGTACCTTTTTCTCCACGAAGAAACTAGTAAAAAGTCGTGTCTATAGCCGAGGGGGGGATCCAACCCTCCGAGGCACGCGAGCGTCTTTGGTCGCCTGCGTTCAAACCTCTAGTCTGGGCCTTTTCAATCGTACTGCGTTGCCTCGCCTCTACCCCCGCCACCCACGAGTTGTTGCCTCGCGGCCTGTTCCGAGGACTGACGGACCTGACGACGGTGTGCGGTCGCGGCGGGGGCGGCGCGTCCGGTGCCAACGGGAAGCTCCCGCCATTCGGAACCTGAAAACCTAGTGCGGTGCGGCGGCCTCTTCCTTTTAAAATCTACATGAATGCAAGCGTTTGAGACTCAAAAAGAACAGAAACTACAATTTTTAGACGGAGCTCCATGGGGACCTAGTGCTATTTTTAGAACATGCCTTGCGGGCGACTCACATGGTCCCTGCGGGCGACCAGGTGCCCGCGGGCACCGTGTTGGCTACCTCTGCGTTAGACCAAGGTATTTGAAGTCCTCTTTTTCAGAACATGAGATGTTTCTCTCTCTCTTCCGGTCTTCTCGTTCAAACGAGTCTGCCTTTCGACATGTTGGAAACTAGGCGACATTGTGAGGTCACATGATGGAAAGCATCGAAGTACTATTACTACTCAAATGCTACATGCACGCTGTGGTATAATCTGCTGTGCTCACACAGGGCACACAGGGTGTCATCTAGAATTTAAACTCAGTCAAGTACACCCAGACTATAAAATGCGAAAGCTTTATTTGAATGAGACATTGACTTCGATCCAGATCATATACGCGTTTCCAATTTGTTTGGGGACCAACACTTTTTTCTTCAAATTTAGACAAAAGGGGCAGTTTAGAACATAGCATCATACATAATGGCATTGTTTTAAAGCAGATGTAGCCTACAACAACCTGAGATATGCTGCCACTCACGTTAACATGCAGGTAAGCTACATCATAGTGAAAATCACACAATTTATGAATATAATTCTGTGGAACTGTAGCTTAGAGCTCCTGGTAAACATGTAACAATATGTAACAGCTTTTTAAAAATTGAATGAAAAACATAAAACCAATTTAACACCAAAAATAGAATATATTCTGACAGCATCAGCAAGCATGAGCTATGGCGAGTGTCCCCCCCCATGCCAACCCCATCTAAGCTCCAAGTGACAGCTCTTCGGGTGAACAGGTCTAGCCGGGCAGCATCTCTGGGTCCTGCATGCGCTTGTGGTGGCTCCAGAGCGACAGCCTGTCCAGCCTCACCAGCTCGCTCCCCAGCGGAGAGGACAGCCTGCTGCCGACCAGCTGGTTGCTGGTGTTGGGGACGCGGTTGGAGAAGAGCGACACGTAGCTGGGCAAAGGCTCCTCCGGCTTCAACTGGCCCTACACACACACACACACACACGCACACACATGCACACGCACACGCACGCATACAGACACACAAACACGCACGCGCGCACACACACACAAGCACATACACACACGCACACAGATTTGGTGGACCATTATAAAGAATTAACGGGAAGTGCAGTGCTGTGTGCTGTGTAGTGTAATAACAAGTGGTCGATATTTCCCATGTTTCATGCACATTTAAGAGCTATAAGGCTGTTGGTTAAATAAGAAAGATATCAGAGCATGTTGATTGAACAGGTTTAGAGCGAAAAGAAGGATTTAGATGAGTTCTTAGGAATCAACAATATTAGTGAAATTCAAACACACACATTCGGTCCTTACCATCTGATCATAGTTCCTGAGAAAGTTCCACTTCTTCTCCCTGTGGGCCACAATATATTGGTCGGTATAGCCTCAGTGATCAATACTGCCACAACTTCAATGGACTCCAACATTTTAGTTTGTAATCAACATAATAGTAATAAAGTCTTGTCATCCGCCATCATCATTAGTTACCAAGACAGTGATTATCTGGCCGTCACACTCACCACTCCCGCACTCCTCTCCTCTCGCCCCACACCGCCTCTCTCCACACTCGGTCCTGTTTAACGGGATCGCGCCTGTCTGGATTCGGCTCCGCGGACGCCGCGCCGGCGTGGCGCGTCCTGTCCGCCGGCTGCTGGGTCGTTATCGGCCTGGTCCCGTAGGCTCGTTCCGGTAGCCGGTAGCCCGCGGAGGACACGCGCCTGACATTGTTTAAGTCCATTCCGGTGGTATACAATCCTGGTTTAATGCGCAAGTTAGCTGAGTGTGTTGAGGAAATCACTGCACAGTACTGTGCCCGTTTTCTTTACGTTTCCATGGAAACGGTGTTCCGGCGGGGAAAAAAAGTGGCCTCACCAGCTGAGGGCCAATAACAACACTTTCAGAATAAAATGCAAATGGCCACAATTAATATACGTGTACATCACCAACCAGCAAGTGAGGATGTCGCTCTTACCAAGCACCACGCATTTTGACAATGTTAAGATGTTTACACTTCAGCTTATGTAGCTGCACCACACATCTAAGCAGAGGTGTATAGGCTAATGTCACATGTATTGATTATGAATTATGGTATTATTTATTTAGTTGTTGGTAGCATATTATGCTTGCTGACAATTATTTCTGTTGTAAATGTCCAGGAGGTTAGGCCTACATAATATTTAAGATCCTGTTTTTTTTTACCAGAAACACTCAACAAAAGTCAACAGCTTTTTTGCGCACTTCTGCAGAGGTTAAGTGATGTTTTTTTTTACCTAAAAGTATCCCCATGTACAATCATTGCTATATACTTAAACATGGCACTGCATTTGCTTGATCATATTCAGGGCAACAGTGTATGTGTGTGAAAGGAATAATACAAAAATACATTTAATCTGAAACTGTTTACCATGCAGTTCAAACGCTCACCCTTGTTTTTATTTACTGAAGTTTATAATGGGTGTGTCTTGTAGTTTTATCACATTTATTTTGAAGACCGGAAAAGTGTGAAACGCCTTTATTCTGAAATCGAAATGCTGAAACAGGATGTGTGTTCTTTAGCTACATAGAACACATTAAATTGACGGAAGTGAGAACCGCTACTCACTAACCAGTCAATTTCCCCATGAGCGAATTGAAACCAGCGGCCAGGTGAAGGTAATGCAAACGTTATTTTTTGTGTACTGGTAGCTCTACGTGACGTTTATTTCTATGTGCAGTCGTAAAGTGCATTTCAAGCGGGTAGAATGCTTGGCCCAGTGTTTGTGCTCGATAACATTAAGGTTACCTCTGAGGAGCTAACGTGAGTGGACATTAGAGAGGCACTTGGCAACTTTTTCCTCAATGCATGGGATTTGTGGTTTTATAGTTGTGGTTGCTAACTGCCTAAATGTACCACGCATGCACTAAAAAATACGATATAGTCTGTTAAAAGCCGTCTTTTAACATATGCTAGCCGGCTAGCCAGTTAAACGTCACTGTCAGCTATCTTATGCTAGTATGAATAATAAACGTGTTAAGAGCCGAAGTTGACTGGAAATCAATTATATAAGGACATTTAATAAGCTGATGTAGCTTCAGTTGCAACAGTGTCAATGTCAACAACCCATAAGACGAGGGAGTGGTCGGTTCATGACCTCTTCGGCTGGAACAATTAACGTTAGTTAGCTAAGTTAACGCTAGCTAAAATCTAGGTTAATACAGGAAATGGTCATATTAAAGGTTGTAATAAGCAATATAAATAACCTATCAAACTACTGCTGGACAATGTTTGCGTAGCTATCTGTAAATAACTTGTAAGAGTTGTGTAGCAGTAAACTAGTGGGGTGCACACAGGTATTTTCAATTGCCGGATGTCACCAAGTGCATATAAATAATAGGGTCTAATTAGGCAGTGACAACACGTGTGTTAGTAGTGTACCGTTTGTGTGTCGGGGCTCTGCGGTTGTGATATTTATTAAACCCTTTTCAGTCAGACGTTGGCTCGTAATAACAGGTAAAAGACTGCGGTCAAGTCAGCAGACACTCGGATCTCCGTGGTCAACTCAGCAGACACTTCAATTGTAGTGCACCTATACGCTGAAACTTACGGTAAACGCAACCGCACAGGACGGGAGCGAGCGAAGGATTTTGCAAAGTTAGCGGAAAGATTAACGTGAAAACTTCCGGTTTTCTACAGACGAACATCCGGTTTTCAAAATAAGATGCCAACAAAGTATACATATTGCATAATGAAATGAGATTAAATGAATTATATTCCAATAAGTATAAAAAAATGATACCATCATCTCGTGAGTTAAAGGGAAAATACACCTAAATTGTGCGTAAAGTGTATTTATTCTTTGATTTGAGGGTTGCTGGAAATTAATAATACCTGACTGACAGTCAATTAAGATGTTTTACGAAGCAAAAACTCTGAACTGAATTTATATCTTCAAATGGCAAATTTCTGAAGTTTTTAAGGTGCTATGAAAATGTTTTTCTCAATAATTCCCCACAATGACTAATGCATATATGTTCAGGACAAAAAAAGGCTAATATCACAATATTTGAGCTGCTACAAAAATATTTTTCGCAATAATTCCATACAATGACTGATGTATATGTAATCAAGGCATCGTTGACTCCACCCATAGAGAAAATAAGACATTTCGACTGTACCAATTAAGAGATATTTCAAAGTAAAACTCATACATTTGAATTGAGAAAATATCAAATAAATGGATATTTGAAGTGTAATAAAAAGTATTTTCTCAATAAGTCCAGACAATGACTGATATATATGTGTTGAGGACGTCGTTGACTCCACCCATACTGAAAATTAGACATTTTTACTGTCCTAATTAGGAGATATTTCAAATTAAAACTCATACATTTGAATCGAGAAAATATCTAATAAATGGATATTTGAAGTGTAATAAAATGTATTTTCTCAATAAGTCCAGCCAATGACTGATATACATGTGTTGAGGACATCGTTGACTCCACCCATACTTAAAATTAGACATTTTTACTGTACCAATTAAGAGATATTTCAAATTAAAAGTCATACATTTGTACCAAGAAACAGGTACATTTCTGAATATTTGAGGTGCTATAAAAACAATTTTCTCAATAATTTCACACAATGACTGATGCATATAAGTTGAGGAAATCTCTGACCACACATATACAGAAAATGAAAAATCTTTACTGTGGTAATGAAGAGATTTTTTTAAAGTAAATGTCCATTAAATTAATAGACAAATTAATTTGTTCCAAGAAATATCCAATAAGTGAATATTTGAGATGCTATAAAAAGTTTTCTTTATAATTCCAGACAATGACTAGTGCATATGTGTTCATGACATCTCTAACTATACTAATACTGAGAATCAAATATTTTTACTTTCCCAATTAAGAGATTTTCCAAAATATAAGTCCTTCTTTTGAATGTTCAAGAAGTTCATTTCTTAATATTTAAGGTGCTATAAAAAGGATTTTCTTAATAATTCCCGATAATGACTGATGCATATCTGTTCAAGACATCTTTGACTCCACCCATACTGAAAATTAAACAATTTTACTGTACCAATTAAGAGATATTTAAAAGTAAATGTCATACATTTGTACCGAGGAACAGGTAATTTCTGAATATTTGAAGTGTTATAAAAAGTATTCCCTCAACAATTCCAAACAATGATTGATGTATACAGGTGCATCTCAATGAATTAGAATATCATCGAAAGTGTGATATATTTCGAGTGTTTATTTCTTTTAATTTTGATGGTTAGGCTATGGCTTACAGCTAATAAATACCCCAAATTCCGTATCTCAGAAAATTAGATATTACATAAGACCGATTTTAAAAAAAAAAAAAAAAAAAAAAAAGGATTTTTAATACAGAAATGTTGGCCTACTGAAATGTTTGTCCATGTACAGTATGCACTCAATACTTGGTCGAGGCTCCTTTTGCATGAATTACTGCATCAATGCGGCGTGGCACGGAGGCGATGAGACTGTGGCACTGCTGAGGTGTTATGGAAGCCCAGGTTGCTTTGATAGCAGCCTTCAGCTCGTCTGCATTGTTGGGTCTGATGTCTCTCATCTTCCTCTTGACAATACCCCATAGACTCTCTGGGGTTTAGGACAGGCGAGTTTGCTGGCCAATCAAGCACAGCGATACCGTGGTCATTAAACCAGGTATTGGTACATTTGGCAGTGTGGGCAGGTGCCAAGTCCTGCTGGAAAATGAAATCAGCATCTCCATAAAGCTTGTCAGCAGAGGGAAGCATGAAGTGCTCTAAAATTTCCTGGTAGAAGGCTGCACTGACTTTGGACTTGATAAAACACAGTGGACCAACACCAGCAGATGACATGGCTCCCCAAATCATCACTGACTGTGGAAACTTCACACTGGACCTCAAGACACTTGGATTGTGTGCCTCTCCACTCTGCCTCCAGACTCTGGACCTTGATTTCCAAATTAAATGCAAAATTGACTTTCATCTGAAAAGAGGACTTTGGACCACTGAGCTCCAGTCCTTTTTCTCCTTAGTCCAGGTAACTTAGCTCAGGCAACTTAGCCCAGGTAAGACACTTCTTTCGTCTCTGGTTCAGGAGTAGCTTGACACAAAGAATGCGACAGTTGTAGCCCATGTCCTGGATACCTCTGTGTGTGGTGGCTCTTGAAGCACTGACTCCAGCCGCAGTTCACTCCTTGTGATTCTCAACCAAATTCTTGAATGACCTAAACCCCAGAGAGAATCTATGGGGTATTGTCAAGAGGAAGATGAGAGACATCAGACCCAACAATGCAGATGAGCTGAAGGCCCCTATCAAAGCAACCTGGGCTTCCATAACACCTCAGCAGGGCCACAGTCTCATCGCCTCCGTGCCATGCCGCATTGATGCAGTAATTCATGCAAAAGGTGCCCCGACCAAGTATTGAGTACATACTTTAAACTGTACATAGACATTTCAGTAGGCCAACATTTCTGTATTAAAAAAACTTTTTTAAATTGGTCTTATGTAATATTCAAATTTTCTGAGATACAGAATTTGGGGTTTTTATTAGGTGTAAGCCATAATCATCATTAAATGAAATAAACATTCGAAATATATCACCTTGTGTGTAATGAATCTATATCGTATATGAGTTTTACTTTTTGAATTGAATTACTGAAATAAATTAACTTTTCGATGATATTCTAATTCATTGAGATGCACCTGTATACATTAACCATTGTTTGGAATTATTGAGGAAACACTTCAAATATTCAGTTATTGGATATTTCTTGGAACAAATGTAGGACATTTACTTTAAAAAATCTCTTAATTACCTCAGTAAAAGTGTTTAATTTTCTGTATATGTGTAGTCAGAGATTTCCTCAACTTATATGCATCAGTCATTGTTTGGAATTATTGAGAAAATAGTTTTTATAGCACCTCAAATATTCAGAAATGTACCTGTTTCTGGGTACAAATGTATGAGTTTTAATTTGAAATATCTCTTAATTGGTACAGTAAAAAAGTCTAATATTCAGTACGGGTGGAGTCAACGATGTCCTCAACACATACATGTCAATCATTGTCTGGACTTATTGAGAAAAATATTTTTGTAGCACCTTAAATATTGTGATATTACCCATTTTTGTCCTGAACATATATGCATTAGTCGTTGTGTGGAATTATTGAGAAAAACATTTTTATAGCACCGTAAACATTTAAAAAATGTGCCATTTGAAGATACAAATTCAGTTTAGAGTTTTTGCTTTGTAAAATATCTTAATTGACCGTCAGTCAGGTATTATTAACTTCCAGCAACCCTCAAATCAAAGAATAAAGACACTTTATGCACAATTTAGGTGTATTTTCCCTTTAACTCAGGAGATGCAGGTAGCATGTTTTATACTTAATGTGAATATAATTCATTTAATCTAATTTCATTATGCAATATGTATACTTTGTTGGCATCTTATTCTGAAAACCGGATGTTCGTCTGTAGAAAACCGGAAGTTCTCACGTTAATCTTTCCGCTAACTTTGCAAAGTTCTTCGCTCACTCTCGATCTGTGCCGTTTGGTTGCGTTTACCGTAAGTTTCATCGTATAGGTGCACTACAATTGAAGTGTCTGCTGAGTTGACCACGGAGATCTGAGTGTCTGCTGACTTGACCGCAGTGGTAAAAGCACAGGTGTGAGTGATGACACTAACGCTGACTGCATTGCATTTAGTAGAGCCAGCTCCTGGTACTGTGCATGCTGGCCCAATGTGATGGTTCAGGCGGACACTTAATGGAACTGAGTCACCTTCGACACAATTTGTTTCACCTGTGCAATATAGGTCGTACTCCACAGCACTACCTCCATTGTAATCAAGAGGCTATAGATTTTACTTTTTAATTTGGTGTTCTGTCCAGATAATAAGCAGTGATTCTGAGGGAATGTTTTGTACTGCTGCAATCCTACAACAAACTTTGTTGTGATGAATGCTGTGCGAACGCGGCATTTAAATGATTCACATTGAGACAAAATGGGCAGAGATGGTCAAAGATACATCAAAATGTATTTTGATACAAAATACAAAATACCCCTCAAATAAATGTATCAAAATAAAATACAAAATACTGGTGCCAGAAAATGTAACAAAATACAATACATGTATTTTGTACTTAAAATATAGGAAATACTTTTGGATTTTCCGTTTTCTCACAATTTGGTATAGCAGAGCATTCAGGTTTGGGCTATATAATATAATATAATTATATATAATGTACACAAAGCTCTGGTGAACCCCACAAAAAGGAAGAACAGTCACAGAATGTCAGTGTAACTAAGCACATCTGTGCTTGTTGATGGTCCTTCTTGAACATCATCTTGCTGAGACATGTCCACCTGGCCAACTGTAAAATGTATGAAATAATAAAACTAAGAATACTTTCATAATATGCCTTTTAAATAAATTGGATATTTAATGTTTTTTTGAACAAATGGACATCTACTATCATAGCCTGGCTAACTGTGAACTATATTATCTGCCAGTAATTGATATGGCATTATGACATTCACATTGAGAAGATACAGCATAACTCAGTGGTGGGTCGTCAGGGCCAGCAAGGCCTTCTCTGCTGGCCTAAACAGAATCACAAAGTTATGTCTATTTTATAATTTAATGTTTCATAAATACACTACATGTAAAATTTATAAAAATATTTTTCCCATTATCTTATTTTCTCATTGCACAGCTACTGTCTTCCTCAGTTGCTCTGCTTCCAGTGCAGCTTGTTTTAAGTAGAGCTTTCATCCAATCAGATTTCACCTCTGTGTCTCTAGGTAAGAACAGAGGCCCGAGGGCTGCAGACTCACAAGTGCATCCCTTTGCACTTTAAGTGAATGGGGACGATATTGTTGATTGTCAGTCTTCAACCAATCAGATCTTTAGTTTGACATGTTGGGCGTATTCTTTGACGTGTCAGCGCCTGCTAGCCGGCCTATAGCTACGTCACCATTACGTGCAGCTCAGTTTCCATGTACAGCTGTGCCGCGAGGTGCAGAGTGTGCTGTGATTGGTCAGTGGGCGAGCACGTGACTATCGTGAAACGAAACTTAACAGCAGAGGCTTAGTCGGGTAGTGAATCACATCGCGTGATGCAGCTCAGCCAATCAAATATGGGCATTCTGACAAGTTTCCTGACCGGAGTGAGATGTACCACACAACATGACACAGGGGACTGAGACGAGGAAAGACACTGCAGAGCAGTAGGTTCTATGTTCGAGTTGTGAATGTAAAATCCTAAAACAATTTCGGTGGGTTGCGGCTTGTCATTAAGGAATGATGGTGGGTCCCACAGCCAGACCATCTGAGAACCACTGTCCTACATGAGTGCAGAAAACATTATAATTTCCTCAATTTAAACTTCTGCATTTTCCAAGTGCTCTAGTATTATTCAAACGTATTGTAAGCCTCGTACCGAACGGGTTAATACGAAGACGTATATAGTTGCATCCTTAAAAACGAATAGCGGTGGCGCCATCATGTGGTTATAAGGTGGTATTTCAGCTGCAGGACAGCAGTGAAGGCCCAGGCATACAATGCATGGCCCGCCACTGGCATAACTTGTAATACAGTGCAAGATTAGATGGTGAGACGTCTCTTGATAAGGTTATCATGAACATACAAGCTCCCAATCGCCCTCTTCCTATAGCTAGCTACTCGACTGATAAGTTAACTTGCTAAACACTGGCTATGCACTAGCCTAGACAGCATGCTAGCGTCATTAGCATGTTAGCATCGAGCTTGATATTATAACCATCACCATGTATGTACAATAGACTATGTACCCAGACATAAGTTATACATCAAGCTAGTTGACATCTGTCACACTCAGATAAAATATTTAACTTGACAGACAATCCGTTGAACTTGAAGATCTGAAGACTGAACTCGTGAAATGTTTTTTGATTCGTGGAGAAAGTATTTTGAGTATTTTAAATACAAAATTACTCCACTCTAAAGTATTTTGTTACGAATTACGTTCGATTTTTTATCGGCCCTATCAAATACAAATTACAAAATACTCAAAAGAAATTGAAATACGTATTTCAAATACAAGTAATAGAAATACTGCCCATCTCTGAAAATGGGGTTGTTTGCATGTGCGGCACAAGTAGTCACAAGTACAAAGCAATGGGTGCCCTCATGAACTGAGTTATTGGTGTGAAATATGTCGCAGTAGTCCCTTCGTTAGCTGTGAGGGTGGGAGCGGGGTGACATCATGGGCCAGACAAACAAGGCGAGGCTTAATGAAGAAGTAGGCCATTGTCTCAACAGTCCCACTGCAAAGTCCTAATCTCCAGTCAGAGAGGCATCAGGAATATCTCGCCTCACTCTTCAGCAGCTTGAAAGTTGGTGCTGGACCACTGACTAAAATGACAACTCATCTTCTGTGTTTCACATGGATCAGCTCAGGTATTAGAAGTAATGACATCTATGTCACGTTTGTTTTTTGGACTGATATTGGTGTGGGATTTATGACATTTCAAGTGATTATCCTCTTTAAATGGATGCAATTAGTGACCGCTTACTAGGTAGTTTACAAATCTTACATGAACTCTCATCATACTGGATTCAAAAAAACAAAAAATAACTTCCAGCAATAAGACCTTTACCCGAGGAGGGAGTCCATGGAATAGTCGGATATGAAGTCTTCACAGGGGACATTTTGACACGTCACAGTGGGAACAGCATAGGTGTAATACAACAAAAGTCATGATGAGCGGCTGAGTTCCATTTAGCTGCTTCGGTTTCAGAGCCTTGATTTCTGTACATGCTGGCTCACTGTCGCACTGCCGTGGCTCTGTGGCTTACTTGAATGGAACGGGGCCATCTTTAATGTTAACAGTAAGACCATTGCTCTTCTTACTTGGATAAGTCAAAATGTGTGCTGTGAAAAAGTACCAGAAACCCCCACTCTGCTTCTAGTCTTTTGCCAATGGGTGCTTTAGTAGGGTGGACGTTTGCTGTCAAGAGGAATGGGACACTGGCCTGTACGGTGAAAGACACAACCACTGCCCTTTTACTCTGTGTTTGTCTGCACTGTCGCCCTGCAGACACATTCTCTGAATTGTGGGTCTTATGGTTGACTAGCTGGAGGCGGTGTCAGTAGAGGTCGGCAGTGCACACCACTGGAAAGTGAGAGTGACATTCCATCCGGGGAGAGTCCGAAGTGACAGCTGGCTGTAAGTAACAACTAGACCAGGGAGCGAGGGGATCGACAGGGTATAATGAGGGGGGGGGGGGATTGTGCTTTGGAGATATTTTGAGAAGCAGCTTGGTTAGATGTTCTGCTGGACCCAGTCTGTGTGTCTTGATTTTAGCTTAGCTGGACTGTGAAGCTCTCATGAGGATCAACGAGAAAGAGGATAAAAGAGACAATGACAGTGAGTGTTGGTTGGTCTGTTAGCTTTTAGACTCTGTGTGTGCGTGTGTGCGTGTGTGTGTGTGTGTGTGTGTGGTTGTAGTTGAACCTCTTACGTTTTCTGTCCTTTTTCCCCAGCGTCCTGTGTTCCTTTTATATTGTCAAGATTAGGCCAGTAGTTAAGCATATGGTCCCCATAAACACATTTGTTTTGAAGTCTTTAGGAAAACTAAAATCAACACTCAATTTCTACTGCCAAAAAGAAAAGTTTATCTTTGACTCAAATGCAGACTTTCTTTGTCTCCAAACCTTAGGCCTAAATATCAGGTGATCTTGTCGGTTTGACAGTTTAGATGTATTAATTCACATTCACCCTTTTCTATAAAAATGAGCACACATCATATTCTGGTAATAATGGTCTTCTGCTGTGTGTAATAGTTGCACCTTTTAGTGTTGCACTTGGATTCTGCAGTATACGTAATAGGGAAGTGCTGATCTGACTTTTCTAGTCCCGATACTGATACCTGGGCTTTGGGTGTCTGCATATACTGAGTACGGATCAGATACCTGTGTTTAATTAATAAGCTGTATTCTTCACTCTATCGAAGAGACTAGGATCATTCTTTAATGTGTAAGGCATCATTAGGCGTGACTTAAACATTGATTTCCTAGCTTTGTAGAACTAAATGTAACAAATGAATGCATAGATATACATTTATTTCATTGTTATTTCTTATTGAGATAATGAATTGTGTACCAGCAACTTGGTAAAGAAACAAAATGAACAGGAATTACATTTGAAATGTAGACCCTTTTTAAATGCAGCAACAAATTGATTAAAACGGACAATAATAAACAATAATAAAGCTATTAGTACTATGATATATTGCTGCCTTTATATTTTAGTCTAACTCGACATTTAAGGTGAAATCGGACCCTGTTTTCTGAGTCATGTACAGTTACTTGAGAAGCTCACTGTTTTAGTGGGATACTGTCAGATTTACTGAAACCTCCTATGAAGTCACGATTCCTAAAGTCAGTGGAATCAGACCTACACGTGGTCTAAGAATAGGTCGTCTAATATCACTCTTGCCACAGGCCCTGAGGGGGAGATGACAAAGGAGGATGTTTCGGAGCCCGTTGAGGGAGACACCGTGCTGGGCTGGGCCTCTTCCCTTCAGCGGTCCGTCATCCACCAGGTGGCCTCTGCACCGATGCCCAGTGACTGTGGTGAGGACACACACACGCACACGCGCGCGCACTCTTTCAGTGCATACATACAGAGGAGCCGTGTGACATTTCAGGTTGATTAACGGCCTCACTGCAGTACCGAACACACTGTGAACAGGGGGACATAAACAGCTTGATGACTGGAATCTGTTTCAGATCATGCAGTTGAAATAATGATCAGCTGATGACATTAAAACCATTGTTGGTCATTTGATCAGTGCACCACCAGGTGAGACTAATCAAGATTGAAGCCGTAATAATAATAATCATCAATGATGATGATTATCCTGATGGGATGAGATATCAAAGTCCTGAAACTGCCCTCAATAACTATGCTGGACGATGATTCTAGTTTTATGGTGACGTGTATCTATTTCTTGCTCTAATATATCATTGCATCATTCTTTAATAATAATTAAACAAACATATTTTCATATAGATTAATTAGTTGGTTCCAGTTTTACTTTTTCTCATCTTATGCAGTCCAGTGTGTTTGATTATACAACTTAAAACATATTTATATATTCCTAAACAGGTAATAGTTGATAATGGAGTTGAGTGTAGACAAAATGATCAGTTTTTATATAGCATAGGTGAAGTCATGTCGTCCTTCGTCAACATGAATGGCTTCTAAATTGACCCCCCTTCTATGTAATGCAGTCAGTAAAGCAAATGCATAAGGTGTGACACTGGTTAAATAATAAAAAGTGTTCACTGTGGAAGGCCAAGGCTATTTGTTTTCATCCTCAGAGGCTGAGCTCTCTAATTCTTCTTTTGGTTCCTAGCATGCCATCCGCCGTCACATCTGATTTCATCTGCAGGCACAGCAAAGGGCATTTCCCAAGATTACTCATTTGATTGAATCGATTGAACAGTGTGTTGCAGAAAGTTAATGTATGTCCACGCTGCAGTGTTTCACACATGCTCTTTTCACACGCATATACAGGTGAAAGAGGAACATTAAGCGCTCGGGTTTCCAGTTCCAAGATGACTCGCATTACAGTAAAACTACCTGTCATTTCTGTCATCTCGCTACCTCCAGAGTTCTCCTTCTTTGACCCCAGCGAGCCGCAGTGCAAGGAGGTTCTTCTGGATCCCAGCACCACCATACCAGAGCTGTTTGCTGTCCTCAGGCAGTGGGTGCCCCAGGTTCAGAAGAACATCGACCTCATCGGCAATGAGGTGACGCCATCCGGCTTTTTCCACCGTCTGTGTGCTTCAATACAAACTCTTCTCTGTCTGTTAAAGGTCGCAATTCACAACTCCACTCATTCAATTTTTATCAAGTCAATACAAAACTATGCTAAGTACAAAATATAACTGAAAATACTTCAGAATGAAATGAGCCTCTGCAAACCCACCCCCAAACCACCACCACCATGCAGAGTTACACAAAATAGCTGCAATGCAGTAAATTGTGCAGGGAAGCACTTGTCTCAAGGGTAAAAGCAGGAGATTATTTTCCCTCCCTCTCTCACTTAATAACGGCTACCCTTGAGAAATAAAATGCCTTGTTTCCATGTCAGTTTGCCCAACAATTCTCTTCCAAATTTAAAGACGACGCCCAGCTCACTTGTCATTCATCAGATCAGTGCTCCAGAGTTTCACTTTGTAGCCTATTATGTCATAATTCTGCGCAGTGACACCAGCGGTCCTTAGTGACACACTGTACATGTCGTCTTCGCACAGATCCTGAAGAGAGGCTGCGGTGTGAACGACCGAGACGGTCTGACAGACATGAGCCTCCTGCACTACTGCTGCAAGGCCGGGGCCCCGGGCATTGGTTAGTATATCGACAGGGCTGTTGAATAAACACAGCTGAGACATCTACTCTGTCTTTTGTCACTTTAACTTTCTACTCTGACCACTGAACACGATCCTGTAAGACTCGAGAAGCACCGCTATCCATTGGTGCTTCTCCTTAAACACAGTCTCTAGAGCTGACGCACTGTCTGTTACTTCACCCCACACGTACATGTATCCCTGCTTTGTTCCTCAGGTGACGCAGAGACGTCTGCCGGCTTTGCCCGCCAGCTCCTCGCCCTGGGCGCAGATCCCAACCTCCGCTCGCGCTGGACCAACATGAGGGCCCTGCACTACGCTGCGTACTTCGACGTGCCCCAGCTTATCCGGGTCGTGTTGCAGGCCTCGCAGCCTGGAGGTGAGACTTTCCCTGCAGTCAGTACAGGCAAACATTTCTGCAGTGGCGATTAAGGCCTCGGCCATTTATCTTTTTCCTGCGGTAAACATACTGAGTTGCCAGCTTCGTAGGCGTACCCACTGCAGCTACACTCAATCTAATCCAATACGACACCCCCGCAATGCAGCCTTATAATATAATTCAAGAACCTTTTGGCATGTATTTTTTGTGGTAGGTGTCAGTCAGAGAGTGCTGTTGTATTTTGGTGCTGGGGTTTTTCTAAATTTGATGATGCAGTGTGGATAGACTTGGACAGCAGATTGACCACATTTCTTTTAATTATCACTTATTTCACATGTCACATGTCCAATTTATAGAAATCACCATTCAGCAGATAAAGCCGTGTTGATGTTGCTGTAGTTAAGATGGAACAAAGAATAATGGGAAAAGCATTGTGCACCACAATCTGTGGGTGTGGGGAGGAAGGTCCCTGACCGACAGCTTGCTTCAGTAAACAAATGTTGCACAGATAGGAGAGAGTGGATGCTTTTCCTGTAATTACAGATTAATATGGACAAATTACTGCACAGTAAACTGTGTTTAGGTGTGTTTGTTGAAGCCTAATGTTTAAAAGTTTTTCTGATTATTATATTTTGGATACTGTGATGCACTAAATTGATGCTCAATCCATTGTGTTTATCAATTTCACAGTTTACATAAAAGGAAACATGCTATCTCAAGTCCAGGCTTGGTGAGTCTTCAGGGCCCAAATGCACTAAAGCGCCTTACGCGTGTTTTAAAGTACACCTATTGTTTTAAATGGCCATAAATGCACCCAGGGGAGGCCCAGCAACCAAAGCACTTTCTTTGTGCACCGGCAGCAGAGAGAGCTAAAAGGGATAAAAGCAAAGGATTTTTCCCCAGAGGACGATTTTTTTAATTCAAGAAATCAACTAATAGTTATGATAAATAAATACCACGACTGTCGCTTCTTTCACTGGTTATTTGCCAAATGTTGCCGGCAGTAGGTCACATCAGCTGCTACTACTGAACGTAAATGGCATATGTAACTGGATGGCCGGTTCGTGTGCTCTCTGTAGTGAGTAGAGAGACGAAGCCTAAAGAACAGCCTCTACTGAATCTACTGACCTGGTCCTGTATTATAGCCTGTACCCGGAGTGGTCCCAGCATCCCCCAAGAGACCAGGAGATGGAAGGCCCTGTTCACTACAGTTTTATTTTGTATTACGAATACAATAAGTGAAACGTATTATTTTGTTGCACTTATTGTATTCGTACTGGTTTGTTTCTGCACTGTACTGTTGCTCTGGTTTATGCTCTTAGATACTTGTTTAAAAAAGGAGATGCACTTTTGACTTCTGGTGACTAGTAGTTCTCTTGAATACCTATTGAATACACTTATTGTAAGTTGCTTTGGATGAAATGTAAAGTAATGGAACACTTTTGGCCTGATAACAGCTGCCAGATGCTGTAGCAATGACTCACCAATAGACCTGGGGCTGCAGGATGCAGCTGTACCTTTTGAGTTATCTGGATAAATCCTTGTGTAAGTCCCTTCTCAGTAATCTGTCCAAAGTGTGATGGGGTTGATATTAATGTAGCAATACTTACAGACTCTACAGGGGCAGGTTGTGAGGCAGGATCCAAAGCGTTCTGACGATTGAGTGTAAATGATAGTTGAAAATGGATCATGTCAGTGTCTAATCTCCTGATTACCTTCTGTTTTTTTTTGTTTTTTTTGTAGAGGTAGATGCCACCTGCAGTGACTTTGACTTCGGCACCGCCTTGCACATCGCTGGGTCCAACCTGTGCATATCAGCTGTCAGATGTCTCTTACAGCTGGGAGCCAACCCTGCTTTCAGAGTAAGTCACATTCTAGTTCTGTATTTGCTGCATGGATGCATTGTAAGTCACATTGTTTTCTCACATATGCTTTGAATTCTTTCACCAGAACAATTCAATTTAATCCTTTACTCTTATTTACTTGAAGACTTTTCTACAGTTACTAAGTTCCATGAGATACTAATCAACACTAATTTCTGTTCTTAACCTTGATGAGAACATTGTGAGCCTGCAGTGCTGCTGCAGTAAAAGGTTTTGCTATCTTTACTACAGATGAGTATGCTTTTATGGATACAGTATAGTAAAAAAATGTTAGTCAAATTCAGAGAGAGTATATGACACACAGTCACTCTTAATGACTATATTCTTTTGTAATCTTTCTCAAATATGGAAATAGTTTGCATTTAGAGTGCTGGTAAAGAACATACAGGTTGCTTTGACACAGTCCTCCAATATTTATGAAGTTGTTCATATTTGTCTGTGCCCTATCTATAAAGGGTAACAAAGTACAGTGCTAATATATCGGACTGCTGATGAGTATTTGTATTTTTTATTATTAAATGAACTAATGATTGAGTGACAGCTTACTGTACACTAAACTAGGCCTATTAATAAATATATAAAATCAACAGGAATTTGGACTATTGGACAAAAAAACCCTGTCAAACATTTTTGCTTTCTTATCGTCATAGTGGTTATTGGCATAAAAACCACACAATTCATATCTTTTGGAAATATGTTGTGCGTTGTATATTTGTATACATGTTTGCTATGATAAAAACAAATTCACTCTCTAATATCTATTTCATATTGCTGTGAAAACATCTCCTTCAAAGAACTGTATTTATTCAAGTTTCACGAGATTTACAAGATTACATTTGAACACATGTAACATGATAATGTTGTCATTTACCATCGCCCAATCCTCGTTTTTACTGTTCAGAGCTTGAACGAACCACCGTAGCTCAATGCAACCTCATTGATGTTAGCTGTTAGCTCCGTTATAAGCAGGTCTGTGTTGGAGAGAGAATCTGTGCCATCTCTGAGCAGCATGCATGACAATTAATTACAATGTAATAAGCCTACTTGTTTGATTAAGTTAGTTGTTTCAAATGTTGCTATGCTGTCAGCGCTGCTATTTAGCCAACCAGGACTGTGCTGCCAACCGGCTGCTAAAAGCTAACCGCTAACGTTAGCCAGTGTTGTCAGATCAGATTGCCGGTTTCCAGCCCAATCGCATCTTAACAACCAGCCCAAATAATAATCAAACCCTAAAAAACATTACATACACAATAGAAGAGGCATCATATTACCAAAATGTTGGATAAATAGGCTATCAACCCACAAAGAGTGCAGTCTGACAACCAAATACACAAATGTCAATGAAGTAGGTCCTCCGTTTTCCTTGACAACAATTTAAAGCAACTCATGTCGATCACATTTTCTTCACATTAAATGAGTGGACACTATGAATGAGTGGACACCTGCGTGAGGTATTCCACTTGCCCGAGCCCAGAGTTTATTTGCCTTGGGCAAGCGGGCGTTTGTTAATGACGAGCCCTGTGCAGTCCTAAAGATAGAAACCTTCTGACAGTCACTGAACATCATTTAGTTGCACGGCTGTGGGTGTTCATGATACTGCTTCTGCCCCTTGTATTTGCTCACAGAGCTTCTCATCCAGGACTCGCTTGGGAAAAAATTCACTCCCACAATTCTCCCACCATCAAATCTACAAAGCCTTTTTATGTGATGTAATCGTGGCTCCTTTATTTGCTGCGTGACAGAATCCATTCGATTTGACGGAGACCTTTGCAAAAGAAGTGCTGATGCTCAGTTAAAAATACAGAAGATTGCAGTCTTTGAGTTTCTCTCTGAGGTCTCACATTTATTCCATTTCTTTTTTTGTGCATATTTCCTTTTTGCCATTTTCTGACACAGCTGGCAGATAACACCCAAAAAAACAATAGTTTGCAATGCAAATTTGCCAGACATATTTCTGATACATCTGTCTCTGCGTCTCAGTTGCAGTTATTTAAATCCTTGGTTATGGGTTTGTTGAACAGCCCTGTTGCCTTGAATTGAAGGATGTACATCAGATTGCCTGTAGATGGTGATGTGGCATCAAGGCTATACAGCCTATTGACAGTTTCTACACATACTAGAATTTCCATGTCTCAATATGTCATTGGTATATTAAATGTTTTTTTTCCAAATGAATTAAACATATTTCTGAACAAAATGGTGCCTCTTCTTTTGTGTGTACTAATTTTCCCACTGGAGGCCACCAAAGCACTGTGCACCATAATCCAATAGTTCCCATCCTCAGAGATGAGTGCAGAGGCTCTATATTCTTTAGTGTGTGACTGCTAAGCTTGGAGAGCTTGTCAACAGTGGTTGATAGGAACCTGCTTGTTGTTGTCTTTTAAACCCTTTTATTTAGAGATTTTCTGTGTCAGAAAATATTTTTTTCCTTATCTTGCCAAGCAAAAGTTTAGATTCCTCTGAGGGGAGATTATTTTCTGTCTGCTTTATTATTAAGGGTTATCACCTCCTTGCTTACAAGGAAATGTTGTATCCGTTTTGACAAGTTCTGATTTTGCCATTCTTTGTTTCACCCTAGACATCCTCTTCATAGTTTGAAAGGACCACTGTGTTTACTGTGACCCAACCCATCTTAGTTGAAGTGCAGACCCATCATGTGGGCGTTTCAAAGTCATGATATTGAATATACTAAATTACTATACAGTGATTATTTTACCAAGAGTATTTAGAAAAGCCACTTTGTGTTGCATGGAACATGTAAAGCCAGTCTTTCTTGAGTAAAAGAAAAATGTGCATTACGTCACTATCACCATATAGCAGTAGCATGCTCATTGGTTGGTGATGTACTTGAAAGCCCTACCTACCAAATTGTATCACTTGCATTTGAAAAATGTTGGTGGTGGCTGGCAGTAGAGTATAAAGCATGAGACCAGAGCTGAGAAATTCTCTGTTCCTTTTGTAAAGGTCAGACTGGGAAGTGCTTTGATCTGATGTTTCCCTTCTCTGACTCAGCAGACATTCGTCACAATGAACCTTGGATTTTAAACAGTAGATGGTTTCATAAGGATGGAGAAATAAATGTTGCTGACCTTTTCATGCTTACCTTACCACACATCTTATGGGGCTTAATGGCTATAGCAATTCTTTGTACTTTCATTAAGTAGCAAGTTGTGTTTTGTGGATTGCATACTCTGTTGTTCCAGTTTCAGATTCAAAGTGAGCCACTGTTTAGTATGTGCTGGGAAGTCTTTCAGGTAAAGCCCCCATGAGCTCTATGTTGATGTATTGTGATGTATGCATGACTTTTAACAAGTTAAACCAATAGAACAATTATAGAGTTCTATCATCCATGCTTTTTTTGTGTGGAAGAAATCAACTTTTACAAGTAGCTTCATCTTGACTCCATGGCTGTTCTTGAATTGAACTAAGGTCGGTTAAAGGAGCAATGAGTAGGATTTGAAGGGAGCGGTTTGTAGACGCAACATTAAAAGTTGGCCCCTCGCCGGTCGGTGAAAGCTAACCCCAGATTCACTCGTTCTGGAACAAGCTTTGACCGCTTGCCATTTGACCTTGCTATATTTGCATTTTCTCTGCGCTCTGTCCTCCATTTTCATAGCTTTCTTTCTGATGCGTGCTTATGCTCTGACTCCTGGACGCTGTATTTTATAGAGGTTGATTGAGGGGTTATTTTGTATCGGTCTTCAATTTGAATGTCTGGATAAGAAATGATGGAATTTCCAAACAGCCACATCATTTACATGATTGATTGTTTTCACATTAAATCAGTTTATGGATTTTTTTTATTTTTTTTTGGATTGCACTATATTGCGATTTTTCAAATATTCTGTCCTCTTCATGTACGTAACTGATATCAGACAAAACATCAGCAGTTCAGTACGTCCTCGAAATAATCCACAGAAATTAATTGACACCTTAATTTCCTTAGAGGCAGGATTCACTGCAGGACTGCTGTTAATCATCCAACTGTTCTATAGCTCACAACTTTGTAAAAAATATAATCTTCAAATGTATCTTATTACAATTCACACGTGCCGTATGTATGAGAGAGTAACAGGCAAATAGCCAATGAGTATTTTATTCAGATTGATTTTAAGAAAGTTTCAATACACAAAAAGGCAAACTCCTATTTTTGAAGGTTATCAAAGACCACGCGTGTTTCTCCAGCAGAGTGGTGCAGGAAGAGGTCCCCTCGTCCGTCACGCCCACACAGCCTTCCACCTTCACTTCCACTTTGGGCTTGCTGACTCCGTCTCAACTCTCACTGCCTCTAGTCTCTTTGAGCCGCTTCACTGAACTTCCATGTTGTCTGCCTGCTGATCAGCTGCATTGAAACTCGAGGGGGTGGGGGTTGTTCTGGGAACAGAGATAAGATTAAAGATTCTGTCAAGCCCAGCATCCTCGTTACAGAAATGATCACTGAACTTTATGTGTAATGAGAGCAACGCTAACACTTTTTGATGTCCTTGTAGCGTACGTGAGGTTGATTCTGCACTTGATATTTATCAGTAGTAATCATTTCTGTAATATTTACTTGGCATGCTGGCAAATACAAAAAAAGCGACTCACCATTTCATCATTGGATCTTCTGTGCTTTTTTCCCCTCGTCTCGTCCTCCAGAACATGAAAGGGCAGTGCCCAGCAGACGTGGTGCCTGACCCCCTCGACATGCCGTTGGAGATGGCGGATGCAGCCGCCGTGGCCAAAGAGCTCCGGACTTTGCTGAGGCAGGCTTTGCCCAGACCCAGCTCCCCTCTGCCCCTCACGCTGCAAGCCCAGGCCCTTCCTGTTCTCTCCGACAAGGCCAGGATACAGCTCGCCACCATGGGAATCCGACTGGGGGACCGCGTGGTGATAGCCGGACAGAAGGTGTGTGGTAGGTCACTATCAAAAGGCGAGAACAATCGTAATGTCCGCCTTTTGCATTCGTCATATCTCAAAGTGGTACAATAGAGGGAAGCTTCCCCAGCCGGATGATAAGCTGAATTGAAATGAGCGTACTCTTCTCCAGTCCCTCCTAGCAGCAGTGAACGAGTGCTGCATCTATTCCATTCAGCCAACAGTGAAAGTGTATAGCTCATCTTAACAGAGCTCCACACTAACCGTACACATTTGTAGCACTGGTACATGCATTTTTCATCAGGAGGGCCTAAAGTGTGGAGAGACTCATACTGTTCTAGTCCACCCCCTCTTTTGTACAGAAGCCAGACCAGCATGGGCCTGTAGTTCAGGGACATGATCCCTCACCAGCTTCCCATCCTGCATATGGATGGAACTCAAGTCTCTGCAGTTATCAAATGTTCACAATAACAATGTTTTTCTCCGTGTATGACTACAGAGGAGTTACAGGAGAGGGAGCCGACTCACGAATGCACACACAGCACAGATGTTGTTACTTTGGCACTGAGCTTCCTGGCACATGTTTTTTAAGAGAGTGCAGCGATCTTTTTCCATGGGTGTATTGATATAATTCATGTCTTACAAACACCTACTGTACTAACAGATGCCACATAAAAAGAAAATGCACAGCACAAATGGCCAGTAGAGCAATAACATAAATGTGATTGATAAACAATCGGCCTCTAGCCTGCAGCCACATCACATCGGTGCCATGCAGCTGTGCTGTGCTTTATGCTAAACAAACATGGAAGCTTTGGTTAATTTCTCTCCAATTATTTCAGCCCCTAACCAAGTGAAAAATACTTTCCAGTTGCTAAGCAACACCCTTTTGCCATTCTTCCAGCATTCAGGGTTATGTTTGACAGTTCACTCTGGCAAATCATCAACTTTTATCTGAACATGTTTAAGTTTATTCCACTCCAGTTGTGATTCTGTTAAATGTCTGGTAGTTTAACAAGTGTAAGTTTTAAAACATTGCTAATAAAGTGTAACCAAATGGATACGCTGAAGCAGTCAAATACCAGCACAGTATTTAACAGTGTACAGTATTTGTTTTAAAGCAGGCAGTGTACTCTTCGTCTGCATCTCATACGATCTGCACGTCTGATTACACGGGTGTTTTTTCAGCTTTTGCTATTTTTTATTGTAGCGACCTTTCTTTTTAGTTAATTAAAGCGATCCGTTCCTATGAGTTTAGCCAAGAAGTTCATCCAACAACCAACTTGTTTTTTGCCCAGTTCCTTCATGTAATGCAGAGTCCTTTAGTGTGGCTGCTCAACCTAACCGTGCAACTCAAGTGTGGTGCTGTAAGCCATGTGTAATCCTTTCGACAAGAAGCGCGCTTTGAAAGCAGTGGAGGTTTAGACCCACAGGTCAAATAATATGCAGTTTTCTCACCACATTCATGGCACAATTCAACCTTGACAATTGGCTTCACGGTGCTCCTGCTCCAAAAATGCAATGAAAACCCCAGAAATCGGCACTAAATTTAGCAAAACCGACCTTTTTCCAATGACCGATGTGTGCCTTTTGTTATCATGCTGACAGTCCCAGTCCACCCAGAATCTGCCTTGTGATCCAACAAAGCAGGTGAAAGACCTATCGCATCACGTGTAGACTTTGCCAATAACCACAAATACACGAGATTCATGTGACTAAAAGCCTGTAACTTTTATGGGCACTCTGCAAAGTTGACTCCAATGCACAGTGTGACTAATTGTAGTGCCAGTCTTTGGAGTTGCATCATTCTTACTAAACACAACTGAATTATTATTTTTTTGTCACTTATGTACCAACAAACTGCTCTTTCCACTTCCCCTCTTCAAACATGGACACACTTAAATAATATTCGTGATAAAACCAAAGCGAAATGCAGTTGAGCTTCCTTACTGTTCATGTCGTCTCTCTGGACCGGAGACTCCTATTATACAGTAACCTAAAACCATCCATGTAGGTAAACATGAGCTTGTAGTTGACATTATGTCACATGATTTCTGTGTCTTGAGTTCAAATGTTTAGTTGTCAGTCCTTCAGCACGACTGCTACCGAGTGCACCTAGAATATCAGCCCAGTGCTGCCGCTCTGGAAAAGTCAACGTGGTAAGCCTCTGAAAGTCAAACATTCATTTTGCAGTGTGACATCTCTAATATTTCAGTGCCATTTCATCAGCTTGCTCTTATTCCCTGAAAGCTCACTGAAAAATACATTCCAGCAGGTACAGTTCAGCCTTTCTGTAGAACAGCGTTTTGATTTTCTTGACTCCCGTGCTGATTCTATCAGGGAGTGCCTTTTTGTACTCTCAGGTAGGGCTGCAAAACTAATCTAATATTCATTGCCATCAAGATTTGGGCTTTCCACAAATTTACTGAATTTAGGTGAAGAAGAACCTTATTTTAAGTCTTATTTCGGTGCAAAGATTTGTTCACCAGCAGGAATGTAGCACCGCGTGGAAGTAAAAGAAGTGATCTCTTCATTTAAACTTAAAAGCACAATAAAAACATGTGCTGTACGTGTAGTCTGCAGGCCGATCAACGGCAGTCGGTTTGGTAGAGATTACTCGTTCCCCACAAATGATGTTGCTGGTGTGTAGGGCGCAGTGGTAAGGGTACCTTTTACCCACCATTAGTTTAGCATCAGCCCAACTGCTTAGACTTGCGCAGTAAATAACTGCACACATTTTGAAGGGAAATGTTTCATAATGGAAATAGTTGAGAATACATTGAGGGCATTAAAGCAACAAGACACACATCTGCCTTTCATATTGTACGCTCTAACTAGCATTAGCATCTTTAGTTTCAGAGATCTCTTGAGTAACTTCTTCTGTTCAGAGTTTGGTTTCATTGATCAGAGTAATGGCGACTGAAAGAAAACCACTGGCCACCATTACCAGTCCCAGTTCCTGCTATGTAATCAGGTCCCTGAAAATCCCTATGCAATTTCAGTAATTGATTGTTTTTTTTGTGTGGCTTTAGCAGTGTGCCCTCGGAACAAACTGCACACGCATAGATGCAAACAGACATGAAGATAAGAAAATACTAATTCCACTCCAGACGGACATTTGCTGTGAAAGAAAGAGCCATTGATTGATTATTGTGCCACAATGACAACAGAATCACAGTGTGTCAAATTGCAGAGATTGGCTAATCAAATTTCTTATTATCGTCCCTGCTCTCTCTGGCACAGTCTAATGCTTTGATCTCCATTTTCCCCTTTTTATATTGTTTGTCTCTACCGCTGCTTTAGTTGACAGACTCATCAAAATATGTAGTCGTGGCTTCAGATGGGGGTTCTGCCCTTGTAGAACACCGAACATTCTGCTCGGTGCACTGGCCAGTTCTGTTGCAGCATGACTTGCTTTTGCAAATTGTGTTTTTGTTTTGACTTTCCGTGGTGTATAATTGTGTTTTTGCGCAGGTTGGAAGCCTGCGTTTCTGTGGTAGCACCGAGTTCTCTGGAGGCCTCTGGGCCGGAGTGGAGCTGGACAAACCAGAGGGGAAGAACGATGGCTCGGTAGCCGGGGTCCAGTATTTCACCTGTCGACTCAAACATGGTAGGTCAGGCCTCTGACTCACCCCTCGCTCTGTTAATGACTTCTATCATTCCTGACTTCATAGGGCTTAATTGGTGCAATTAGGTTTTTAGTGGCATCTCATCTAACCCCAGGAAATTGGATTTGTCCTTTTTGTTAATGGTGTTCAAGTTAGCATTTGCAGTGTGTTTTTTGCTGTTTTATTTATTTGACTTATCTGTATCTCTTCAATCACCAATAATCTTCTTCTTGTATTGTTAAAACTTTTCCTTTGTGTCACAGGAATCTTTGCTCCCCTCTCGAAGATAAGCAAACCTTTGGAAAGACTGAAAGCCAACAGCAGAAAGGCGTCCACACCCGTACGCCCCCCTCGTCGCGTTGACGTGTCCCGCATCACCTCAAAGATAAACACAGGTAAAGTACCAGTTGCAAACGGCTCATAGTTCTTGCCGACTTTGCTGCCTATTCAAAATCTGCCTTCGACGAGTTCGGTTGTTAGCTGAGCGAGCTAGGGATGCTCCAGTGCTGCTCCATGTGCGTCAGCGTGAGGCAGAGTGAATCGGAGGAATGAGTTTGCCCGCGGAGTTCTGGCACAAATTATCAAGTCATATCACAAACCACAAAGGCTGTGAAACTGGATAGCCTGTAGGGCCCCAAGGGTGAAGAAATGTGTGAACCTTTTGTGAACACAGGTGAAAACTGTTTCCTCACATCACAGGTAATCTCATGTACAGTCCCCTGGAGGAGACCAGTAGAGACATTATTAGAAACCACATATCATATAAAAACTCAAACATTTCAGAGAAACGATATTAGTCTGATCAATGGCTTCATATTATTGACTGTTAGTTAATGAAGTTACGGAATAAGCCTTCAAGTGCGCTCACTGAAGGGGTTTTGGGACATGTGCGTAGAGCACTTGCATCAAATTGAAACAGAGGCCGGTGCTTGTCCATTTTGTTGTTGCCTTGGGGAAGACGTGCTGAAGAAGTATTGGTGGTAATGGTACCCCGCTCTCCACTCAGTGGATTACAACAGGGTCCATATCCTGTGTGATATTGTGATGATCCTCAACCATCCCTCTCCCTCTATATAACTAATGTAGTCATCATGTACAACACAATGTATTATTAGCAAAAGGCTGTTTAATTCCTCTAAGCCAGGGGTTGTAGCGTTCTCCACAAGCACAGTGTGAGTTATCGGTAGAAAACACCTTGGACTGATTGTAAACCTGGAGGATCCCAGGGTAGAGACAAACTGTCTCTTTACTTTGATCTTACATCATCATCTCCTAATTAGGCAGTTAGATATACGAGAGCAAAATGTCCATTCTCCATCTCTTAGGAGTGATCGTAACGGTATTCCATTAAGTGCATCAGTAAGCGACAGAATCTTAAATATGCATTAACTATCTTATTTGTCAACATGAGCAGTATTAAGTCTAGTGAAAATAAATGTGTTTGACGGAATTAGAAAGCCTTTGTGTTGCTCCTACTCCTTGTGGGAACACAAGTCCTTCTGGATACCAAAATGGATGCCTGTACTGACACAGTGAGGGGACTGAGTCATGATGTCCAGATGAGAACATCAGCTTCTCTTTTGAGTCCAAAACGTTCCCAGCCCTTAGGAGCCATGTCACTAGATGGCAGGATTATTTTTCACTTTATTTTATTTTTTTTGGGCATCTGGACTTTCCTATTAATCTCCCTTGAATACTTTGAAAAGTGGATTCTTTCTTGGTCTGATTTCGTGGTTCCTGCTCGCTCTTGGGTTTACAGCTGTATTGTGGTGCTATTCCAGTCACGTCCAGATCACAGTGGCCTATGGAATTCTGTGATTGATAGTCCAATTAAGCGAGGCTTTAATAACCAGGGCATAGACGGGCTGAATAACATGGCAGCGATTCATCACGAGGTGTGTATGTGTGGGCATGCAATCCATGTGAGGGTGTGTGTCAGCACCTCGATGCAACCCAGGAACCAGACAAATTTATGGCCAACTACTTCTCAGGGCCTTTGTCAGCCATTTACAGCCCCGAACTCTGGACCCCGCGTTCTAGCGTCCCGGTGCATCGACCAGTGCAGACAGCTCGCTCGCGTACATCTATGGATTGGACGGGTCATTGTGGAACTGTCTCGTCCGGCTAGCCAGCAGAGACCGACACAACAGTTATGCCACGCTGGCCACTTTTTAGAATGTGTCAACTGTAGCTCGGGCCTCAAAGGGCGGGTGGGAACACAAAAGGCACCACCGCTTGATTCATAAAGCCTCAGCATGTGCTGCAGTCTGTCACTTGAAGTGACTGTCAGTATATGGAAGGATTGAGCCAGGAGGTCCCTGCAAGCTAAAGGTCAAGTGACAAGAAGTGTTTGGTATTCTGAGTGGAGGTGTAGTCTTTGGAGTTCAAAGGAAAGATGCAGCTCTGCCTCTGAGGGGAGGGTTTCCCAACTCTCTCTAAATCCAAATGACAATCAATAAATACCAGGATGATTTCTTGCGCCTTTTCAAAGCGCAGTATAAAGTTTAAAACTTAGGTGAAATGCTAATGAGTTGAGAATGTGAGCCAGTTTATGTGGCAGGTTTATCTATGATTTAAACCCTCTTTAGAGGTGATTATTTTTCTCCTTAAATCTGTTTAGATTAGTGGATCTTATTGCTGTCAAAGAACTAATAGGCTTTTGTCCGTTTACTTGTAGATTCAATTCAAGTCAACAAACAATATAAAAAGCTTGAAGTTTTTAAGTTTTGGTCCTATAAACTAGTTAAGAACATAATTATGTTTACTTCTGCAAGAAATGTTGTTCTCAATGTATTCTATTTGAGTATCGAGATTCCTTTGAAGTAGTTTTCTTTTTGTTCTTTTGTATTCGCTGTCATTGGGGCTTTTGTGTGTAACTGCTTGTCTCAGCATATTTAAGTGTTTTTAGTGTGCTTTGGAGTAAAAGGGACTCTCTTAGTTCCATCAAGAAAAAATGCCTTTCAGTCTTTCGTCCTTACTCGACAATGTCGTGCGCTCCTTTAGTCGCATTTCTTCACTCTCCTGCTCTTGTTTTTATCTTTTCACTGTAGCTTTTTGTTTTATCTCTGCCTTTAACTCACTGTCTTCTCAGTTTAATTCTTTGTTTCTCCGAACTTGAGGAACTCTATGAACTGCCTCTCTGCATTGTGTGTGTGTGTGTGTGTGTGTGTGTGTGTGTGTGTGTGGTTTATCTCTATCTCTCAAAAAAGTCCACCTGGTTCCTATCGGGGCACAGAGGGAGACGCCTCAGTGACAAAGATGGGTACTGCAGCGCCAGCTGTGTGGGCTTAATGTGCTGTGTATCAGAGAACAGGGCAGTATTTCATGTAATCTCTTTGGTTCGGTTCCACACACTCCTAACCAGCACCTGTCTCTGATCACCAGTGCTCCGTAATGCTTGAATCCAACATCCTATTCCATCGGTGGGTTTATTTCATATACATAGAACTTGTACTTTGTATCCTCCATTAGTGCTGCATTTGTTATTAAAGCATAATTCGGATGAAAAAAAAAAATCGAATCGGATTATTGTAAAATATAAATAATCTAAATTTTAGATATTTTTCTCAATCTGAAAATACAATGTGCTGTCAGTTTTGTGATCATGCATGAAACCAAAACCACACAAGTCCAGTGATCAGTTAAGGGAAAGGGGGATTGATTAACTCGTCCAAAAATGACAGAATCAGCAGCTTTCACTGTAATGTGCACTGTCGTCCCCACTCGGGGGCCCAATAACTAAGGCTCACCATTGTAAACAACTCTTGGCTAAGGTTAAGACGTTTCTTCGCCAATTACCATCCAGGTTCCAATTTGTTTGCAGCTGAATCTTCCCTTTTGTCTTAAAGCACTTTGGCACAGATTTAATCAGTTAGCCTCTAAGAGTTGGGCACTTAATGAACTCATGGCCTGTGAAGGTCTGCGGAAGCTAAGAGCCTAATGAGGTCCTGCGTCCAAATGGCTTCTTCGGAGTGAAATTGGTCACCCCCATCTCGTTCCCTCAAGTTAGGAGAGGGATTAGCATGTTGGCCCTTAATTGGACCTCGAGACCAGGACGAGCTACTGCAAGAGATTGAGCTCACTTAAATTTGAGCTGCCATAGAAATCATGTGACGCAGCTGCTTGGATTTCTAAAAAAATTGTGGTAATTGTCTGGATCTGCAGGCACTGTCACATTCAGAAGAATAGAATGGCAAAATGAATAATAGGCTGAGATTCATTGTTAGGACGGAGTTACAAAGATCCCTGACGGAAGCCTCAGTGGATGGATGACGGGTTCAGTATTAAGACGGGAGGCACACAGTTTGTGCCGCGTGATTTAGACAACAGCGTTCACAACAGTTCGAGCGTGTTCTTCAGTTTTCTAGGGCTCTTCCTTTTAATTAGCTGTCCAAGTGTTTTCTTTTCACTCATTCCTCTGTCATTTCCTTCCACAGGTGTCCTCTCCCGCTCGCTCTCCTCTTCGTCCTCTTCACTGGACTCTCGGCATGCACCGGGCACCCGACCCCGTCCGCTGCCAAGGCAACGACTTCCCGCCAGGCTGCGAAGGGAGCGCGCTTCTCTCAGGCCCAGGAACACGCCCTCGCCGGCCCTCCACCTCTCTCCTGACACCACAGCACTGACTGCTGCAGGTCTGTGTCCTTGTACTTACTGTATGGTGTCAATGGAGATCCCTGCTATTTCAGGATTCTCTCACGATTATACAGATCTATTGGAATCAATGGCAGTAAATCATCACAAGAGTGAAACATTTTTTTTGTTCAGGTCTTCGAAGCCGAACCCCTTCAGCTAGCAGCTCTGTGTGCGGGGGCCCTGAGGTGCGCCTGGGGGAGAGGGTGCTGGTGGTAGGCCAGAGAACAGGTGTAGTCCAGTTCTATGGAAAGACCAGCTTCGCTCCAGGTCAGTTCTTCAAAGTGTTGTTCTCCCTGCAGAGATTTGACCGCTGACATCACACTTGCATCTTTATTTGGTAGACGTTTTGCATGTTTGCTTTTCATCAGTGTACTCTGGGTTCAACCCCACAAAGACGTTATTCAGCCTTATTTCCATTAAAACATCGACGTAATGTCTCATTTGAATTGTAAATTGTTTTAAATTGCATTATTTGAAAGGGATAACGGGAAGCAACTGTTAGAATAGGTGTTTTTTTTATGTATATTAAAAGAATCGGGTTAAGAAAGTTAACAAGATTAACTTAAACATCTATAAAAGAAAAACCTTTTGGACATAGTTTATATTCGGTATTGGGTTTTTCCTTTTCATAAATGCTGAGTAAGCTCTATCCAAAGACACAAATGAAGGAACGATCAGGATCAGGTTGGCAGTTTTCTCTCCAAATGTAGAACTTGGTTTCCTCAGGTCAATATCAAGTCTGCCTTCTCTTCAATATAATGGAACTATAAGGCTCTCAGCCTGTTGTGCTCAAAGCTCCAAAATAAATACATTTGAAAAACTCAACAGCAATGTCTCTCTCTGGAAATCCTGACCCAGTTACGTAAGATAATCCACAGACCTTGTTGTGAGCAGTTTCATGTAGGAACTATTTTCTTTCGAACAAACTACACCCGCCAACCGCATCACTGTGCAGAAGGAAGAGTTCATCTATACTCGACACTGCTAGCTCACCTAGCACCACTGAGCTAGCTAACCTTACAGCTCAGCCATCAATGTTTCTATCTCGCGCTGTCATCAGCCTCTCGTCCATCAGTGGATGAACTCTTCCTTCTGCATGGTGATGCAGTTGTAGTGTGGTTGAAAGAAAAGAATTCCTACATGAAACTGATCCCAACAAGGTCTGGGGATTGTCTTGAGTTACTGGATCATGATTTCTGGAAAGAGACGTTGCTGTTGAGTTTTTCAGTTGCATTTTTTGGCACTTTGAGCACCACAAGCCAAGAGCCATGTAGTTCCTTTTATATTGGAGAGACGGTAGACATCTTTACGACGGATACCTCCAACATTATGCAACTCACACCAACATAATCTACATTGATAAACGGCTTCATAGGTAAAAGAAAAAATATGTATTTTAGATTTTGGGGACGTCCCTTTAACCAATCAGATTTTTACATCAAATGATTAAAGCACTACTTTCTTTACTCATGACTAGATCTTTTTTTAAGGTGGATCTCTCATCTTAGGCCATTTGATATGCGATAATCCTTCAATGGTCCCTTTGTTTGACTCCTGGTCTGTCTCTCTGTCTGTGCAGGGCTCTGGTTAGGGATTGAACTGGACAAGCCAAGTGGAAAGAATGATGGATCAGTGGGAGGGGTGAGGTATTTCTGTTGCCCACCTAACCACGGCGTCTTTGCTCCTCCGTCTCGTGTTCAAAGGTGAGTGCAGGCTCTTTAAGCGTTAAGCTTTTATTTTAACTAATGGTCCCTTTTGGTTTTTGCCAGCAAGGTTTTTTTCACCTGCAAAGGCAAAAACAAGTTTGTCAGTTCTAAGCAGATTTTTAAAGAATATGAGAATATGCCCTGAGAACCCCGAGGTTGGGCTTCAATGCCCTCATCAATACATCTGACACTAATGAGCTCCTTTGACAGTGTCATTTGTGCTCGTGTTGACTTATGTGATTTTGCCCTCTGTACTTGGGAGTAAATGGAGTCCGAGGTGTCAAACTTGAAGCCCGGGGCCCTTTGCCCAGCATGACTCGTCACTTTAATGTGGCGCCTAGCTATGAGCCAGACGCCATGATCCATTAAGGATCATGGATGTGTGAATATCATTTTACTTTAGAGAGGTAAAGAGGTCATGGAATAAGTAAGATAATACCTTAACATGTTCCATGCATTTGCCTTTTTAGTACATAGAATAGTTTTGTTTAATTGATATAAATATGATGCAAGACCGGGCAGGAACGTCTGACTGCTTTTCACTGTGTGAGGCAGTATTTATCATTTCTTTGTGTTGCGTTTACTGTCAACAACAAACGATGTGGTGAAAATAGTGATAGAATTTGAGGCATAATCTTACTCTCAAGGGAGATCTTTGATATCTTTTTTTATACAATCTCTTTTTGCCATAGAAACTAATGAGGTTTGATTCTCTTTAATCTGCTCATGCTGCTTCAGAGTGTGAAAGAACCAAGGTCGTGTCATCTGCAAACATTATGTCGGACACATTGGTAAAGCATTTACATTAATGATGGATAACAGCATAAAATGGGTATAGGTCACCTGCCAAAGTAAAGTCACACCATCAAACCCGGCCCTCGGCGGGGGTTTCATGTGGCAGCTTTTATGCCTCAACGCGCACATCCAACATTTTCTAACTACGCGCACTATGGGCAGAGAAAATGGAAAACTTTTCGCTTTCTTGAGAACGAGGAGAAACCTGCACGGAGTATCTAAACGTTTCCTCGTTACGATTCCCCATCAGCTCATGCCAGTGAGACCTTCCCTGTGGAAACTATAACTGAGGCTTTAGTTGGTGTAAGGCCTCAGTTTGACCACAGATCTGATCCAAAGTCAGCAATAATGGTTCATCTGTTTAAAATACTGTCACCAGTGTTGTCTCTGGCTTTCTGCCAGAGAGAATTCTCAATATCTCCTCTTGTCATCATTTTGTTTTTTAATGTCTATTTCGAGACAAAGTAACATGGCATAAGTGAGCAGTTTGACATGTTTTTTTGTTTTCACTTTAAAGTCAATGTTTTTGTGACAGTTTGTCTTCATCTCGTTTCAAAAGCCTTTGGAGTGCTTTGTTCATGCGTCACTGAAATACGGCTTCTAGAATATGGAACTAAAGAAAAGACTGATCTCCAATACTTGCAATGAGTAGTTTAGAAGATTCTCCTAGACGCAGTGTAATATAATCATTCATCGCTCTGTAACACTTGTGTGTTAGTAACTTACTTTAATTACAGTAAAGACCCATTTTTTAGTGACGTCTCACTTTTGAAAAGTGCATTTTTCCGTGATGTTTTACCTGCATGTAACTAGAATGAGTCCTAATGGAATATTACTGGATGCCTTTCTTCAGTCGAACGAGTGCGACTTAAGTTTCAGCCTTTTTTTGACTGGCGGGAGCTCCATTGAAAAGACCCTCACAGCTAAAATACACTCATCCCATAAGGTGTCTAATGAAAAAAATAGTTTTATCATTTCTTGTTCCAAGCAGATGTTTGCTAGTATATCCCACAGAAATGAAAAGAGAATTAGAAAAATAAGAAGAGAGATTAGCTGGACTTAATGATATTCAAGTGGCAAATCTTTTTTTGAATCAATTTCTGCTTTAGTGTGCATATTGTGCGGCCTGTTCTTCAAAAAAGAATAACGCTGCAGTGGGCAATATTGGAGCCCTGTTTATAGAAAAACAGCCGAATAAATCTACAGTTGGCACTTTGCCTACTTTCTTTTCCTATTAATCCCACTGTTGTAGAGATTTGGGCCACCATGGACTGAAATACAGATAGGTGACGCATTGAAGGCAAAGCCAACAGAAACGGTCCCGATGAGCGAAACAAAAGAGCTTCAACACGGTTTGTTTTCGAACTCTGCTGGAGCAATGAACACTGAAAACAGCTCTTCCCTCATTTAGTTTTTTTGATGTTGCTGGTCGAGAGCGCTGGATGACTCATCGCTCTGACATCTCTCATCAGTGCTCCACATCCTGATTCATTTCAATTGGTCACCCGTCTGTGCATCTTTCATAAGGAAGACCAACTCTAGGTCCGGTTGAAACAAATCAGAACTCACTTGGTTTTATGCTCTTCAACACTGATGGCAAAATAAAATCTTGCATAGTTTGCCTCATGCATCGTGTTGTAGTACAATCTCTTTGTCCCCAGTACATACAGCATAATGATGCATTAGAGAAACGGTAGCTATTGTATAGCATTACTGTGAAGAGGCCGTGTTCGGACAAACCAACACTTGAACTTTCACAAAGTGCCCCGAACCAAAGCTATTACATTGCTCTTGTTTTGGGACGAGCTTTGTCCACTCTTCGCTTTATTTCCTTTTTTTTCAGCGCTGTGTCCGTTATTTTAGCTTCCTCTTGGATGCACGCCCACGACATTGCACCTGCTCGTCCAGAACGCATCAAAATAAGAAAATCCAGACAGAGGGCAGGTTCTGTGCAGATACAGTCACCGCCACACACTCGTAGTGGGTCGTAAGTGATGATTGAGAAGGATTGTTGTTGTAAGAGTCTTTGCATTGTTTTTTCTGATAATCCTACTCATTGTGCCTTTTTAAGTATGAGTTGTTTCTTCAGTGCCAAATGTGCCTTTTATCTTGCATTCAAGATTCAGATGAAAGGATTTTTCATGTTTTGCCAAATGATGTACTTAAATTTGGATATGTGCCTGCCTCAGACCGCTAAGCCTCTTTAAAAGAATCTTTTTACCTCACACTTCTGTCCCATGGGGGTCCACACCCACACGGCACAGTTGTTGACCTCTTCAAATAGTGAAGGGACAAAGGCAAATTCCACTTGAGGCCTAAGGATTTCTGCATATCGGATCGGGCTTGCACACTACACAGACAAATTGATGACTCAACAGATGTTTGAAGGTGGCTATTTCTGGAGCTCATGTAATCCTGGGGATATGGAAACCGCTGGCTGTCATGCATATTCACAAGCCACTGAGTTATTCACCGTCATGCATTGTTTTGTGTTTGCTCCACATTTTCCGTAAGTGGATAAAACCTATTGACCTTTTTTTCATTGGATTGCACATAAACAGCACAATGCCTCAAGTGTAAGTTGTGCCAGAACTGAATGAAAGCCACAACAGTAAAAAGCAGAAGACTTCTAAAATCCTCATGGTGTTTCATTTGAAGGGAAGACCTTGGTTGTTCCGACTTGAGGGATTGCTGGTTAATTGACGCATTCACCTTTTATTCCTAAATCTAATTAGTCTCTTCACCTTCCTTTGCTGCATGTTCTTCTTGCTTCCCCTGTTGTCTTTAACCCACTGTGTTTTTCCTAATTAACCCCGGGGCGCAACTGAGTACATGGTTTCCCTCCGTCTAATGGAGAATCTCACATTATCTCCGTCCAGCAACTTGTTTCTCCTTCTCTTTTCTTCTGTCAGCAGCTATCACAACCCATTAGGAAACCCCCCCCCCCCCCCCCCCAACACCACCACCGCCACACACTTATTTTTGGTCTTTCCATTCCTCCCTTAGAAAAACAGAAAACATTATTATTTTGCCTCTTTTGCTCATTCCTCGACATTGGCAGTCTCCCTCTGAATGGCTTTCAGAACTCTAACATTATTATAGTCGCATAGCGGCTGAAGAACGCATCAATAAGCGGAACAGGTACTCTTGTGCAAGCAGCTTAAATGTTCTTTTCTTCCTTGTTGCTGTTGTCAGAGAGGGGTCATCATCAGACGCAGGCCTAATCAACTCATTCATTTTTTTAACCTAAAAATGTTAGATATGTGGTGGTATTTAAGGGTTATTTTAAATCAACATTCCAACATTTTTTTGCTTCACATTCTGTTGATTATATAAAGTGAAGCTACATCCACACTACTACGTTTCTGTTTTCCATTGCAGATCTTTTGCTATGTTTACGCCTAGCTTCCCACAACTCCGGAACTCTAAAAAACAGAAGGGTTTGAAAATGTTACGGATGCTGTTAGTTTTAAAATTGGTGAGTTGCGTTGTAGTGTGGACTGGATGAAACGGGAACCTTTCAAAACGATGACGTAGACGCGCTACTTGATTGGGTCTCAGCAGTCACGACGTGTCCTTCCCTGATTAGTCACGCCACCGGAAGAAAACAAACCGCCTCGATTATCGATCGACCACCAGGTTAATTCACCATGAATAACAGATTACAGCCGTTGCTGACCTTGGTGTCTATACTGGCAGCTGTTGTCTGCATTTTATAATTGTTCTACTGCCTATATACGAGGAAGCAAGCTAATATTAGAGTGATTAGCGAGTGGCGTGTCCAGCGGTGTTATCAGCCCTACGGTGCTGACGTTTGAAGTCATGGTTTGCAGCTTTGAGGACGACAATGGACACAAAACAGAGGACTTTCCTTTTCTTATTAATGCTTATTTTGTTCTGCAGAACTATTGTGAAGTTCACTAAAAAACTGTAAACAAACAAAAGCATAAATGCTCTCCAGTCCGACAGGGACTTCAGCCACCCAGCAGAGCTACGAGTCAGAGAACAGAAAACTATACCAAGGAAACTAGTGAGATGTTTTTGACCAAATTTGACACATAATCTAGTAAAACTTTCATTTGTAAGTGTAAATTTGATGTGTGTGAGAGAGCCTTGTAACTAAGTTTGAAAATTACAACTTTTTTTTCCATGTAATTTGTCTGAGTATATAGAGGAAGATTATAAGTATCAAGCAAAACCTTTTACTATTAAAGAGTACAGTAATGCTCTGTTTTATGTTCTGTGACTAAGCAACCAATCTACTTCCTGTTTTCCCCCGGGTGTATAGTCATGTGATGCTCGGTTTCAGACATGTTATTATGGACGGAAATCATGTCGTTGTGGACGTAGATCGTCTTCGTTTAAAAACCCTGTTTCAAAACAGAAACGTATTGGTGTGTATGTAGCCTGAGTCGGTGTCACTGGAGGTTTTGCACAGTAGGTTGTTGATGGCTCAATGAAGTTCCCTAAATGTTCATAGGTCACATGTAAATCAGCTTTTATTGTCTCACACAATCATACAGAGCAGAACACAGTAGAGAAATGTAGTCTCTGTAGTCAACCCGTCCTAGCATTAGGAGCAGTTGGCAGCCACTATACTGAGCCTAGGGGAGCCGCTTGGGGTTCGGTGCCGCCCACAAGGGCACCTCGGCAGTGCCCAGGAGGTTGAGCTGGCACCTCTCCAGCTACCAGCTTCCTCGCTCTACATGCAAATAAACACAAAAACATCATCTCCGCTGGCAAAGACCAAATGGGTAGTTGTATTTAACTGGCAGGAGACAAAGCACTTTCCGTATCTAGTCTACATGAAATTAAAAGAAAGCAAGACAGTAATTGATGCACTTGTAATATACAGTGGGTACGGAAAGTATTCAGACCCCTTTTGAATTTTTCACTCTTTGTTTCATTGCAGCCATTTGCTAAAATCAAATTCTTTTGTAACCTTGGCCAGATCTGTGCCTTGCCACAATTCTGTCTCTGAGCTCCTTGGGGGTTCCTTCGACCTCATGATTCTCATTTGCTCTGACATGCACTGTGAGCTGTAAGGTCTTATATAGACAGGTGTGTGCCTTTCCTAATCAAGTCCAATCAGTTTAATTAAACACAGCTGGACTCCAATGAAGGAGTAGAACCATCTCAAGGAGGATCAGAAGAAATGGACAGCATGTGAGTTAAATATGAGTGTCACAGCAAAGGGTCCATGTGACCATGTGATATTTCAGTTTTTCTTTTTTAATAAATTTGCAAAAATTTCTACATTTCTGTTTTTTTCTGTCAAGATGGGGTGCTGTGTGTACATTAATGAGAAATAAAATGAACTTTTTTGATTTTAGCAAATGGCTGCAATGAAACAAAGGGTGAAAAATTTAAAGGGGTCTGAATACTTTCCGTACCCACTGTATGTATTGGTCTTTGAACATTTTCTGCAATCGTGCACAAAGCCAGCTTCCTGAATTTTGAGAACCAACTGGAGATGAGAAAAGAGAGGAACAAACGTAGAGCTGCGGCCTTGATGGCGTATTTTCCTGTTGCGTCCTTGTCAGGACGCATTAGCGTCTCCCTACAAATATATATGTGGCCACAAACGTCCCAGACCACCTTCACAAGTGCTTTGAGTCATCGGCTCACAATCCCTCATGGTGGTCGTCTACTCTTTCCACTTGTGATGCGTGTCAATGCCAGGTGCAGACAGGGCCATAGACACGTGTCACGCTCATGTTTGTGTCTTCCTCTCCGTTCACAGGATCCATGGATCAGTCGATTGCCTTTCGGAGCTCTCCTCCTCGCGTGTCAGTCATCCTTTCAACGGTGAGAGTTCTGCATTCATTGCAAGCTTTGACTGAGATATATATACAGGTGCTGGTCATATAATTAGAATATCATCAAAAAGTTGATTTATTTCACTAATTCCATTCAAAAAGTGAAACTTGGTCTATTATATTCATTCATTACACACAGACTGATATATTTCAAATGTTTATTTCTTTTAATTTTGATGATTATAACTGACAACTAAGGAAAATCCCTTTTCCTTAGTGTGTGTGTGTGTGTGTGTGTGTGTGTGTCTCTCTCTCACTCACTCACTCACTCACTCACACACAATGCAAGACTTTGTGTAGGAGTACTTGACCCTTGTGATTGCCATGCAGGGACAATCCGTCGCAGTCTCAGCACATCGTCGGCCATCGCCACCCCGAAGGAGACGAGCAGAAGAAGTCCTGTAACCAGGTGTGGCTCTCTTTTCTATTTCTTCCGCTCAGCCCTCACATTTCACCCTCCACAGGCTTTCAGCTCCATCCTAAGCAGTGGCAGAATCAATACCGATAAGAAGCAGTGGTATTAGTCCGCAAAGATTCCCTTTTTTAAATGGCCAATGCATGACTGTGATAAGAAGGAAAGAAAACAGGGATTTGAAAATCAATCTCTCAAACATCAAGCTTGCATCAATCTCCCACTTTCTTCTGAGATATCCTCTCACGCTGCATACCTTTTCTCATAAATATTTCTTGCTGTATTTTTTATTTTTTTTTCCTGTGCTGCCAAAATTCAAAAAAAAAAAAAAAAAAGAAGTCGCTCCAACCCTCACCGTCGGCGGTGGAACACCCTCAGCGGCGGTATCGGTGTTGTTCCCGGGAGCGCAGCAGGGTCCAGCCCCTCGCCCGGCTCTGACGGACAGGTCTGTCTCCATGTGGGCATGCAGGTCCTGCTCAGCAGCGCAAATGACATGGCGTTCATCCGTTACCTGGGCACAGCGGACTTCGCCCCGGGCCTTTGGCTGGGCCTGGAGCTCCGAAGACCTACGGGCAAGAACGACGGCTCCGTGAGCAGCCGCCGTTACTTCACCTGTCGACCGGGCCACGGCGTGCTGGTCCGCCCCAGCCGCGTCACCTACCGTGGCATCAACGGTTCTCGCTTGGTGAATGAAAACCGCTAAGGACTGTCGGAACAAGGGTGGGCGGGGCCTGGGAGGGACATTTGAGATGTTTTGACTTTCTGTTTGTGTTCAATTCTTGAAGTTTGAGCTTCTCATTCTTCTTTGCGTTGCGTATTATTTCTCTACTCTTTCAGAGGTGTCGTGAGTAAAAGTAAAATAGTTCAAATTTAGACTACTAGATTTATTTTTGGGAAAAATGTTGGAGGCAAAGCACTTTATAGAATAAACTTTAAATTGTTATTAACAGTAATATTGGCAGCATACAGGTGTGAAAAAGTCTTAAGCTATAAGACACTGCACTACTTTGAATCTGATTGCACTAAGAAACGATATCGATCAATATGATGTATCAGAATAAGAGACTGGATAGTTTCTCATACCAAAAGCTAATTTTGATCACATGCAGTAGAGATTTTTATCAGATAATTTAGGCGGTAATGTAGCCTACTCTCTAACCAAAAGTGTGCGTGTCTGCGTGTCCATGTGTGTATTAATTAAGAGCACTTTGAAACCAGAGGAATGGATTGATTCTTCCAGGGTCGTCGAAACTGTATTTTCACTTTATGAATGAACCTGAATTAAACAGGATTTAATTAAACCGAAACCTCCGTCAACCTCAATCAAATGCAACGGCGTCAAGAGAAGTTGTCGTCCTCCGTACATCGGTCTCTGCCACAGACTGTCATTGAACCCTAAAGGAGTCTGACTCACCGGATGCAGACTGTGGGTGTAAGCCTGCCATTGGCTGCCTGTTTCAGCCAGCATTCTCTCCCCAGTTTGCTATCTGCTTTGCGAGGGCACCGGCTGCTGCATCCTGAGCTTAGCGCCGCCCAAGACGATTGTGATCGGTTTAAAGAAATGCAGACGAGCCAGAGCATATTTTCCCCCTACACCAGAATAATGATGTCTGCAGCCAGAGTCTTTAACGCTGACACAGCGCTGTGAAGACAAGTCTGACTTTACAAGACTAGCCCTCCACAGATAAATGATGGTTATATTGTGCCATAAGCACCTACTTATCCTTCGGCTATGATTCCGTTGTAATTGGCACCAGACAACTCAACTATGGTTGAGGCATTTAGATAGTCTTAGGCAACACAATGAATTTGCCTGATTATACATCTGACTTGTGTCGTGGTTGAGGATTCAAACCTCTGCTTCTGACGGAGCATCAGACCAGTCAGAGTTGTCATAATAATGTGTTTCTAAATGTGAGTGATACAGAACGGTATCGGTACATCTGTTGAAGACCAGTGGTAATTGTATTAGATGCTTAAGTAAAGCAGCTTGACACAGGAAATATGCAGTCGTCCAGAAGTTTCAAGGGTCTAGTTTGCTATTTGATTAGAGCCGTCTGGGCAACTCGGCCGAGAGCAGGCCATCGATCTTGCATGTGGAAAACAGACCCGCTATTCAGCAAAACACTCGTGTACCATCCAATTAAGGCGTGTCGGCCACAACAAGAGGCGTAGAATCTCCAATGGCCTTCTCTCATTGATCTGTCCGGTCAGGTCCGGTGTGATTGAAAAGCAGCGGTGGTCAGGGCCCAAGGTTGTCTGAAATGTCTGCCACAGATCTAACGGATGAAATAAGTGCTCCTTTCCAAAAGTGCAGATCAAAAACATTTGAATCCACACTTCCTTCTTAAAAAAAAAAATAGCTTCTCATTTATTCAGTCCATCTCTGTCATCATTTCTGCGGCATTTGTTAGCGTTCTATATTTCTAATCTCATTCTAACATGAACTTTACTTATTTTGGTGTATCTGCAGTCCCAGTTGTATTACAGCATGGTGATGGGTGATGGGTATGATGGGTAATGGATTTGTTATTTTCATAAAATCCCTGAGCTGTATATTTGAAGTACGAGTGCGTGACAAAGGGATTTGGTTTAATGCATTTTCATGTTCTGGAAAATAACATTTGTAAAAAAAATAAAAATAAAAAAAGCAAATAAAAGATTCTATTTTAATTTGACCTCTTCTCTCCATGACTCTATTGCTTCTTTGGCTCTGTGCCTTGATAGTGTAGTTGCACTAATATAAAACTTCCTTGGACTGTTCATAAAGTGCAGAGGAGTGTTGTCTTCAGGGAATGACAATGAAATAGCACAAGCACTTTGAAATGGTTACACGTCTGTTCACTTACCATCTGATTCCACTGGGCCTCATCTCAGCCAAAGCCTGCTGCTGGAGTGGCTTTGTTTGCTTCCCGCCAGCCTGGGCGCACACATTCAGGGTTGAGTGTGGGTGACGTACTCTATTATGCCGTGATTGTGGAATAAATGGTTGTTTGAGAGCGTGCTTTTAAATTGTTTTCTATGCTTATTGTTACTCCTTTTTGTAGCCCAAACAGGAGAAAGCAAACCGAGGGAAATGATCCAGGGAAGCAGCGTTTGTCCAAACTAGAGATTGATTCAGAGGTGAGAATGAAATGGAACACTAAACATCAAAGGAAACGAGGAAACAAATCCTGCAGTAATAACGGGCATAAAAGAAGTAACCATTCAAAATGCTGTTAATCGACACTGAGCACCAGGAGCTTCCTTTAGGAAGTGATTTGATTGAATGCACAAGCATCTTAAAAAATGATTTTAGCACACATCAATAACACAATAGATGGATGACAAACTTTACCTAAATTATCTCTTTATTCAGAAATATCACTTATACTTTCTTTTCCAACTTGAAAGTAATAATGGTCCCGTCTGATCTGAAGCAGATTGTAAAGTTGAACATACGCTTCACAGCTGACGGACAGGGTGGGCACCGCTGCAGAGCATTCTCCACAATCTATTTCCTGAGTGATGTTTGCCAGCACTTTGTCTCTCTCTGACAATTTGTCCAACTGTGTTTGGTTAAAAGAGACCCGGTGAAGAGGTTCAAGCAATGGGTGGGGGGGAGACCGGTATTTCTAAGGTAATGTCTTATCATGTTATACTTTAAAACAGTGCTGTGTATGTCAACATCCATCAGCCAAAGTCTGTTGTTTAATGTTATTAAAACCTCATTCATTGCATATAGTTATGTCATCATCACACAGTATTTTAATCTTCATATACACAACTCTGTAATCATACGACCGTCTTGACATGAACTCTGGCAAGTTGTCGGCATGGGAAGCCCTCCCGTCGCTACCGTCCGTCCCCGTCTGACGTGAACGCAGCGTATGCCCGGTTTGATCACAGCAGCGGAGAGGAACTGCAGACCTCGCCCCTGAACACAACCAAGGTGCCTGCTGCTGAGGAGGGAGGGCGCTGCTGATCTCTTTGTGCTCGTGGAACAGTGGATCAACTCTTATCCCTGCAGTGTCATTGTGTGACCCCTCCCAGGTGCTGAGCACTGAGTGCCAGCTGCTGTCATCTGTGAGGAGGTTCAGAGCAATTGGATGGTTCTGAAAACGCTTTCATCCCCACAGTACTTCAATAAATATTTTAAACAGTTGCAGATCAAATATATCAAGATGGAAACAAATGAAGGGTTTTATTTTTGCTTATTTATAGATGATTGGCTGTTTTCCTGTGGCTGTGCTTCTCATAGATCTGTTTTAGCATCAGTGTACGTTTGTTTTTGTTTTTTTTCATTTTATAACCAGCTGTGACAGCGTGGGGCTGGTATTGTTCTCATCTTCTGAGTCGTCATGGCAAAATCTGATCCTGGAGACGAGTACTGGAGCAGGAACTGCCACAGAAGAGTACTTTACCATGTGTCTGCAGACAGATTTTGTCACAGCAACAGCATCACAATGGTGCAAGATACAGTCAGGAAACTTCACAGGTGTGCAGCTGAGATCAAAATAAAGGCTGAGTTGGAAGAGGAGTGTGGTTGCTGCAAAAGTACCAAAAGGTAGGAAGGGGCCCGGCTGGTGTGGTCCACTAGATGGTCTCTAGTTATGTTCTTGGATGGTTGTTTCCTGTAGCTTTACCCTGGTCTTTAATATACGTGGAATGACTAGATGGTCATGTTTGGTCACCTCCATTAACCTCATGTTGGAATTGAGGGTTAACGCCTCTAAGTCCATCGTGGTCGTAGGGGAAAGTGATGGATTGCCCCATCCGGGTTATGAAGCAGCTGCTGCCAAAAGAGGAAAAAAAGCTCCAATAGCTAGCTTGAGCTCATGTTCATGAGTTATCGGTGAGATGAAGTTTGAGTAGTGGTTTTATCATTTCTTAAGCATAGTGCTATTTAATTTAATGACTTGTATCTGTTAATGGAGACACTGAAAGCAGCTTGCTGTCTGAATATCATAGCAGGACAAAATGCTTTTGGAATATAACATTTTGCTGTTTGATTCCCAAACCCCGATATCTTTTATTGAAATGGTTTGTTGTCAGTAGTATTAAATGAGCTGAAGACACGAGCTGAAACAAAGCTCAGACATTCTGCGTCACAGTGTGGTAAGTGCTTAGTTGCACCATCAGCACTGTGTACTGCCGATCCCTGATGGGAGACAAATGATCTTAGTGAGACCATGTAGAAAGACTCCCGTCTGCTTTTTAACATGATGGAGAGCAGCACTGGCACAGCCGGCACCCAAGGAATACAGTTTGCTATCGCTAGCAAATCCACCCTGGCAGCTGCACAAGCCTCTGCATGTAGACATGTTTACAATACAGGGATAATCCTGCTGGGGTCTCCATTCACCCTGTCGGGGCTTATGTGCAATAATGACCAGCTCACTGTACATAATCCTCCTTATTACACAACTACTTTACCAAAGTGAGCTGTACTGGTTTGACACAAAATATTGATTTAAAATGATTTTATTATTAAAACGCAGTTCAAATCTTCTCCCGCTTATTAGCAAGATCCCAAACATGGCTGTCGTGGCTGTACCAGAATCTAAACAAACACTGCATGTTAAGATGTTCACGGCCTCTAATCCAGGGGCCGGATCGCTCTCTCCTACGGTGAGGAACATGGACTCCAGTGTGTGCTCCTCTTTCTCGTCCCCAGAATACTAATCTGTATGTTTAGGGCAGTTTGAGACTGTATTGCTGGAGAGCAGTAGCTCTCTGCTTGCAGATTAGAATGGAAACAGTTGCATTAAAGTCCACAAAACATAATTGCATGATCTCTAAATGCTGCTTCATTGTGTTTTGTTATAACTTTTGGGGACACCCAGATGGTCAAGCTAGTTCCAGATGTCCTTGGACAATACTCCTGATTCTTGCAATATTTTTTAGATAGTAGTAAGCAAACAAAGTGACCGATTTGATGTGACTGTTAAAGTTCAAATGTGACTCTTAGTTATGAGACGGGACACAGATTTGACAAGCATGTGCAATGTTTGTAATGATAAATTCTTACGGCGTGGGTCGGATCTTAGTTTATAGATACAGATTATAGAAAGAATAAATGAAGAGGAGCCTAACTAAGGGTATTTCTACTGTCTGTAGTCTTCTGGATTCAAGGAATATCGTCTATTTGCCAGTTAATTTGATGGACGTTATACGTTCATCAAATGAACTGGTGATGTGTGTGTGTAAGGAGTGAGAATACATAAAGTAAGGAACTGGATAAAAGCTATGTGCTGTGTGTCTCTCTGGAGAGTTGGTGTTCAGGACTCGTTGCATTTCGTTATTTAGTTTGGCTTCGCTGTGCAGTTTCTCACTGTTGCTTTAACAAGCTGTTGTAACGATATACAGTAAGCTACACTTGGGCTGTGTTAGAAATCGCATACTAAATACTCAATTAGCAGCTTCTGCATAGCAGCAGACTGTTCACTCTCAAGTGTGCTAAAACAATGGGGGCAAATCTCCAAACGGGCTTTGGGTAAGCTGACCACGTAGTCGGAATCTAAATGGATACTTTCTTGCCTGTAAACGTATAAAAACGCGACTAATGATAAGCTTTAAGATTCTCACGATTGACAGCCGGTCTCGAGGCACCCAGACGCAATGCATTGTGGGGCAGTCGAGTATGTACAGTAAGCTCACGTCTCACATTCAGAAATCCTTGCTAATGTAGTATGCATCAAGACCTTTCTCGCGTTCCCGTAATCAATACTATACAATGTGAACGCACTGAATACTCAATGTTACGTCCGACATGAATTGTCTGTCGGTATGCGACTATGAACACAGCCGGGGTAGTCCTCATGCGACACAAGCTCTGACACTCCCTATCAAACGTTGCTCTTCACAGTAGTGAGACAGGCTTTGGTATCATTGCCCCATCTCTAGTCGGGCTGAATGTCGGTGCTTATAAAGATGCCGGACATTTCACAGTTTGATTTTCTCATGTCTACAGAGACGTGCTCTCGTCTTGCCCCTTTTGCATCTCTCTTTTTCTTTTTCAAAGAAATCCGGGTTCTCCTTGAGCCACGGCACTGCGTTTGTATTAGTAAAATGAATTGATCACGACAGTTAATTTTATACATCTTCTCTCATCATGTTTGTTCTGTCTGCGGAGTTGGATACATGTCTCTTCTATTACAGATTGCTATTTCTTACCTTATTTCTGGTAGGGGAAGAGTCGAGGGCAGAAACACATGCTGTTAAAAAGGGAAACTTAGGCTATAATAAATCAAATCTGCAGTGCAGCACGGCGGGGTAGCTTCTCAAAAACCATTTAATCTGCCACACACGGCTAGCTAAAAGAAGACAGACATGCTGAGAGAATACATTTACAAACACCACTGTAACCCCAGGGGACAGGAAGGCATGCTGGGTAACCTGTGAGCTCCCTTATGTAAAGAGAAACACCAATGGTGTTGGTCATCTCTAAAATAAAAAGTGTAAAATCAGGAGGACTACAATCATCCTGATTAGTCAAGTCACCGTTTCTCATTTGTTTTTTCATATTGTTTTTATTTTGGCACAAGGAGACGGTTAGTAATCGTGTGAGACTTCTCTTAAAGTGTTCGTCTGCTGAGCTTAAATAGAGACAGATGGATCTCGATGATGAACTGAGACTTGACTGATCTTAAACCACACTCCGCTAGTCTGCGAGGTCTACTATAACATTAGGTTCACGATGCCTCTAGTTTAAATTGGTGCACAGAAGAATCATTGTTTAAATGAGCCCTACCTCTCAAATCCATTAAAGCAGCTTTCACCAATACCACTTTGTGTCAACAACAGTTTGTGCTGCCAATAACCTTTAAAGCTACCGCCGTCACACTACAGGTCCCAAAGTAATACAGACGTGGCAAATAAAGATGTGATCTTGCATTTTACAGCCCTATTTCTGTTCTATTATGTTAGTTTTAAGATGAACATGACTAATGTGTGCAGTTAAGGGATGTTATACTAGACAAGCCGCTCTGTCTGTTTGAGCTTTTTTTAAAAATGTAATCACCGAATTATGTCCTATTTCAATTAATCGAATTAACTTGGCCCCAATCCCAAAGAGTTCAGCAGACAGACGAATGCAAAGCGGTTATTATATAGTAATTTATTAATTTTGGCGAATGCCTTCTGAAGGGCAATTTACAGCTTTTACCAGAGCCATAGTACAATACTTTATAATTACAACATTTACAGGTGCAGTTCAGGTTGTCTTTTTACATCAAACAATGGAGATGAGCTGTGGAGGGGATGGACACAGAATGAATGCATTTAACACACCGGCGACGAAGCAAAATCCTTTTTGCCAGTATTAACTCGCTCATTGATTTGGCCCACAGGAATGCATTCCTCTTAATCAGTCACTGAGCATCACGGCAGCTCGTCGTCGCTTCACAGCAGAAACACCGACAGGATTGCCAAATACATTAAAAAGCATTAAAAAAAACCCTGACACACGTCGCCATTCAACCTTAATATCAACACCGCCCACTCGTGCCACTGTCTGAAAGATGAACGGTGTGTAACCGTCCATCATAGTGAAAAAAAGCAGACGTTAAACCCAGAGTGGTAACGCCGTGTGTGTGAAAATGAGCGGACTGAGACTCAAACTTCAATCACATGTGGAGGAAAAGCAGTTTGCGTTCAAACTTGTTACCCGGACTCATCTGTATTCCACAGCCATCCTATAATAGAACATGTAGAGTGCTTTGAGATGAAGGTTAAGATTGATTCAGCAATATCCACTATGTCTCTGTATCAAGACAAAAAGAGGAAAGAAACTGTTTTTTTTTTTTTTAAACAAGAAATGAATTAAAAGGTTACAGAAAAAGCCATAAGAAAAGAAAAAAGCCTCAACTTCACTGTCACAGTGCACTCTTTCAACAGAATGGAGCAGTGAACTCGACAGTATGTGATAGTATGTGTAATAGGGACCTATTACACATCTTCAGCAATAGTAACATGTGACTCGTGTTCGATCTGTTCTATTCTAACGTCAGAATAATCTCCCCAGCCTGCGTCAGTGCTCTATTTATCCAACTATTCTACTTTAATGGTCACCTTAAAGGACACAACTCATTTCCTGCATCAGTGTTGTGATGATAACTAGGGTTGATCATATTTTGGGGGGGATTGTTCAATCTCTCCCATTTCAATTTTTCTTTTTACCATGAACAAATTCATTCATCTTAAAAAAACAAACTAAAGTGAAACCCAGTTGATGTAAGATGAATTTGTTTGGATTTGAAGAAGCATGTTCATGAATAATTTATAGAGCCACTTCCAAATAATAAATAAACAAAAGAATAAATAAACAAGCAGGCAAGCAAACATCAACAAACACATTTTTCCCAGTATTTTTTTTGTATAAACATCTCTGGCAATCCAGTGTAAAATCAGTGTGATACAAGTTAATCACCACATGGTTGTTTTCCAAAAGGATGTGTGTGAGGGCTCAGTGGTAGAACTGACACATGTGGCTGCACACAACTTCTCAGTTGCTACAGTCAAACTGGTCACCATAGTATGTGACTCAAGTTTGGCAAAATATAAGGATAGTCCAGAGACATCCTCAGCTGTCAATGAACACATGGCAAATGTCCTCGCCCCTGGTCACGAGCAGATGGAAAGTTGTCCTTGTGTCCTCCTGTGCCATAAACTCTCCATCGGATTCTCACTCTCATGATCCCTCCAGCATTGAAAAAATACATTTTTTGAAACTCTTGAAACCAGCCTTTACTCTACATCTTTCCTCCAAAAGCTTTTTTTTTTTTTTTAATTTTAACTTTTTTTTCTGATGTGCTTCAGCATCCATTGGGGATTGTTAACACACCTCCAGGGTTCTCGTGGGAAAAGCCTGATGGACTCATTCAGCTCTGTTTCAGTGAGAAATGGAGGAAGCAACCAAAATGGCTGGACGGTAGGGGTGGTGTAAAACCGCCTCTGTCCTGACGCAGTGTTTCCTCACGTGTCCCGAACACCCAGTCGCCAAAGACGGGGCCTGAAAAAACTAAAAGACCAGCGGTACAGGCGTTCGGGCTAAAGCACGGTGGCGTTGTGGCCCTCCATCCTGGGCAGCCTGGGGTCCTGTACGGTCCCCATGGTGACTAGCAGTGGACGGCTGTCCTCGGACATACCCGACCGACCCAGGGTCACTGAGGCGGGAATGGAGACCCCCCTCTGGTGGGCTGCTGAGGAGGACATGGAGATGCCCTGCTGGGGCGGAGGGGGTGGAGGAGGGGGGTTGGGGTTACCGTGAGCGGCCTCCAGGGGCATGCCCTGCTCTTGGTAGCCATAGCCGATGTTCCCACAGGGGAACCGTCTCAGTCTGTAGAGGGGAACAGGGGGCAGGGCAGCGGAATCTAAAAGCAGAGGCGATTGGGCAGTGGGAGGTGGGGGTGGGGGTAACAGAGGTCTGCAAAGACCCTGCTGCTGCTGCTGATGGTGCAGCAGCTGGAGCTGGTGCTGCTGCTGGAGCTGATGCTGCTGCTGGAGCTGATGCTGCTGCTGCTGCTGCTGGAACTGCTTGTGCTGGTGCTGGAGACCCAGCGCCCCCGCCACCTCAGCCACAGTCCGGCCAACATGCTCCTGCCCCTCGCCAGGCACCCTGCCCCCACTCCCGCCTGCTCCCCCTACCCCTCCCTGCCTCTGCTGCTGCTGCTGCTGTTGTCTCTGCTGCAGGAACCACGAGCCGTATGTTGGGTTCCAGAGACTGCTGCTCTTCCCGTTGTGGCCCTCCTTCTCTGTCACGTGGCCCTGGGTGAACGCCAGGTTGATGTGTCCCCCCTCAGGGCTGGGCTCAGTGGCGACGTGAGATCCCTTGGCAGTGAGTGTAGAGTTGGCTGTGGAGGTGACTGTGTTGGTGGTGGTCATGGTGATGGAGGTCTGCGTGTGAGGCTGCTGGTGCTGGTGCTGGTGGAGGTACGGCTGGGACTGGGCCGACGTCTGTGCTGTGGCCTCGGATGCTGTGCTGGTCTCCACCATGTGCTCCCCACCTCTCCGGTTGTCCTCAGTAGGATAGGATGGGGGCGGCTGCAGAACCTCCCCATCAGGCACCTGGGCATTCATCTGCACGGTTGGAGCTGAGGGGTCATCAGGGCGCATGGGTACTCGCTCCTCCTCTTCGGGGACGGGTCCATACTCTATAGGCAAGGGCATGGTCACCACATCAGGGTCCTGAAATGGGGTAGACCATCAAGAGCTCAGAGTTGTATTTTTCAGTGTTATCAGTAGTGTCATTCATGTTAGAAATTAAATCAAATCCACAATTTGAATATATATATAATAATCTAAAAAGAACAAAAGAAATCTAGCATTAGCTGATAGCATGGCATTATTTTTGAGACATTTTTCCCAGTATTGTTTTGTATAAATGTCTGACAATCCAGTGTAATTTACCACACGGTTTTTTTCTGCGGTAGAACAGACGCATGTGGCTTGTGGCTGTACACAACTTCTCAGTTGTAAATATACATATTTTTACCAATATAAAACTAAATTTAGTACTTAAAAGTTGAACTCTGGAGTGATACACAATTTGTTCATGCATAAATAAGTGATTACGCTTAATACAAACTTGTGTTATCATTTAGAGACAACCAGTACAGGCATGGAGTTTTATTCATAGAAATCTAGCAATATTGCGCATTAGTTTCCTTCAAATAGCTCAGCCCTAGTTCAGTGTTTACACTGTTGCAGACTCCTCCTTTAGTTACCTGTAAGCAGTAGTCAATTCTCTCCAGGATAGTTGAGAAGTTGGGCCTGTCTTCAGGCTGATGCTGCCAGCTCTGAGTCATTATACGGTACCTATAGACACACATGAATGGGTAGACAAACACAAGCTGAAAATACTTTATGAAAAAATGCCAGATTTATCTCTCTTGACAAAATATTCTTAATAATTGGCTCCCAACAGTTTGACTGATTGTGTTTAATAGGTGATGCAGAGAAGATGACAAACTGTGAGGATGATTCCAACTGTAGCTAACGCTTTCAGTACTCAGTGTCACCTGTTGTGAGGCTGATTCGCAACTTCAAATTGAACCACAGGGCCATGCCTATTTATTTCAAAGAGAGAAATACACAGGACGCTAAATGAGATGAGTAAGCTGCAAAGCCGTGGCCAACAGGTGTGAACAGTGTGCGTGTGCGTCTGCCCATATATGTTTTAAAATAGAGTTGGCATGCAAGGCAGTGAGTGAGAAATACGATATATGGAAATGTTTTTTAAGCTCTCCATCAGCCTCCCACGACTTCTTCCAAATTGGGAGGTGGACATGAAAGAAAACTGTTAATGTGGTTTCCATATTGACAGCACTGAGAGCCATCGCCCAAAACATTTTCTTATGCCTTCTAGGTCACGACTCATTGATGTGTCAATATCAGCCAATCATCAGACACTTTCATCTTTGCCTTTGCGTTTCTTGCCCATCCTGTGTATGCGTCACATGCAACTGAGCATCTTTTCTATGTTATGGAGAAGCTTAATTTGACCTCATGGGATCACATTTTTGCTTGTGGTCGTGCGGAGCATATGAATGCATTGGGCATCTGTGTGCAGCTATGCACTTACACCGGCCCAGGGCAGTTTTTCGGTGGGTCCATTCTTCCACCATTGGTTACGAACTCCAACACTTCCTGGTTACTGCGACTTGGATATGGCATGTAGCCCAATGAGAAGATCTCCCACAGCAGAACCCCAAATGACCTGCAGATGATGAGAGAGGACAGATTAGTTACAGGGAGAGAGAGACGGGAGGGCGAGACTAAGGACGACCAGCCCATGAATTCAAAAACATCATCAGAGCCGAAGCTTTGAAGGATGAGTGCAGAGGACGAGAATGAGATAGAGACTAGACGAGGAATTTGGAAAAAATAAATAGCATATGGATCAGGGGTTAAAGGAGGCAGGTTGGGATGTCTGAGTGTGAAATCACAGTGAGGGTGAGCTCAGTTATCACTGAGGCCTGTTGAATTGGGATTCTCACCACGTGTCTGTTTTAGATGTGAAGATGCCCTCCATGAAGGCTTCTGGTGGCATCCATTTCACTGGCAGCATGGCGCGCCCACCCTTCCTGTAATAGCTTGCCCTGCAAACAGACACACATTTTCAATAGCACAATGCTTGATGACTATCCACGTGTCTCATAGTGATGGCTATTTTTGTTTGCCCACTGATAATTAAAAAAGGGAAAAACTGTAAAATGAAAGCGGGCATCTGCACTTTGCAGCACCGTTACCATGGCAACACCACTGCCCTCAAAAGCAGAGGGTAAAAAAAATATATACAAATCTAACATGCGGCAATTAAATCAGGGATTATCAGTTGCTGTATCAGCACTCTGATTCAATCGCATTTCCAGCTTCCCAACGCGTTGGTGTGAGAGACCCTTTAAGAGCTGCTTATCTGTGCCGAGGGGGACGAGGCAGACTTTCCTCCAGTCCGAGCCATTTCCAACGGCGCCTTGAGCTCTGCGTTGTTAAAAGAAACAATCCGATGTGCGCTCTATCTGATCGTTGATGGTGATGGAGGTCACCTCGCAGCGCTCCTGGCACACAGCGAGGACAGACATGAGCCGGGCGCTGCTCGGCTCCCCATCCATCAATAAAAATGGACGCACATCAAGCTTCGAGTTAAGCGGTGTCGGCTGTGTTTGGCTGGGAAAAGCCTCATTTGGCATCGCTTGCTGCTGCTGCGGAGGAGGTAATCTCTTTGCCCCGAGTGATTTTGTCATAAAAGTGACACTTTTTTTCTCCCTAAACAGTTGCTTGCAAACATGGCAAGTGCTTCATAATAAATAGGACTATCTAATAGGCTATCGACACAGGTTTGTAACTGGAAGGTTGCCAGTTCAAATCCCTGGCCCTTTTGGGGAAGTAAAGAAGTAGCAGTAACAGTCCCTTTCTCGCCGCCTTCAAAAACTCAACCAGAAGCACCAGGACGCTGCACATGGCTGCACAGGAATAAGGACGGTAATTACAGTGGGCAGCTCCCAGGTGTGAATGCGCAGGATGAGCATTACGCTCAGTCGGCGTTCACTGGACGAATGAAAGCTAGAAACAAAGCAAAGAACTACAGAAAAGAAAAGAATGGCCAACACATCAGAGATTAGAGCAGCTTGGGTAAAATATAAGACAACCAGCAGAAAAAAACCCAGATTTGTGTTTTTGGCAGCTTGAGCTCCTTAGATATGGCACCCACAGCCTTTGGGCTTGGGCTGCATGACCCATCACATTTTGTCATTAGTTTGCTTCTACTTTAGGAGGATTTTCAAGCTGTGCTCCAGCTCACCAGGGGCAAAATGTCTGGACTACCGTTACAAAGCCAGAGCTATGCATGAAACCATAAATAACACACAACTAGAGCCAGGATGCTAAGACAGATGTAGCTGAGCCTCAGCTTATTAACCGAACCAGGTGAAGCAAGTCTTCCTCGTTCAAAATAACCTTAATTTAGTTTACTTGCTTAAGCCATCAATTAGGTTTGATATTTAATATGATGGAAATGAATGTTTAAAGGTTAAAAGGATAAGAAACAACTGCATTTCCCACAATAACAAGAGCCAGCGCTGATCTTTTGGTTCAACTCGTCGCTACAGCTGTGGCTTCAGGGGAGCAGCAGGTAGAGATTGTTAGAGATGATATGCTGTCAAGCTAGCTAAAAGGAAAGTATATATACATAGCAAAGTATTGGCATAAGAAGTTAGCCTTGAAGAAAATTACACATATTCAATGAAGCAGAGAAAACACTCACTAGTTGAGCTTGTTTGCTTGACAGATTAGCTGCGAACCACCGCAGGCCAGTCACACAGATTCCCGCCCCAACGCCTTAATCTATCACTTAGAATGACACGATCAGTTGAGTGATGGAAATCAATTACCTCCTCCATGTTTACGCCTACTATGACAGGATTGAAACCTGCCACCATCGAGTGCCCCGAATACCAGTATTCCTCGAGTTTTCCCGTCTGTCCTCATTAAGAAATAGGGACGTGAAGCGGACTGAAGATGCGATTAGATCAAACAGCCGTGGCAGTGGGCTCTTAGTGGATCCTGCTTTCATTGCTGTGAAGAGGCTGATTTCAGTGATAAGGAGTTTACAAAAACAGACCACAATCTCAAGTCAAACACAACTTTAAAGGGGACACATTATGCTCATTGTCAGGTTCATCTTTTTGGGTTTGTACTTTAGGTTTGTACTGGAACATGTTCACATGTTTTAATGTTAAACAACACATTGTCTGTCATACTTTCTGTCTGAATATACCTGTATTAACCCTCCGTCTGAAACACTCTGTTTTAGCACCTGTCTCTTTAAGACCCTCTCCTGAAAAAACCCAGTCTGCTCTGATTGGCTTGCGAGAAAAATATGGTGCACCTTTGCAAAGGCATTTCTCAAGCTGCATTCCAAATGGCCCACTTTAAAAAAAAACAAGCTGCCATTACAAAGCACATACTGTTGCATGTAGTATCATTTAATTGGGACATACTGCTTCCTTACAACATTACACATTGAACTTTGATAAACTGACTGGGTTTTCTTATTTCAGTTTGCAGGTTGGTAACGACTCCAGATACCAAAACGTATGTGCACAAGCACTGAAAAAGTCAGTTTCTCATGATATGGCCCCCAAGGAAACCAGATGACATGAAACCTGTGCACATTGCTCTACAGTACGTCATCTGATTAATTCTGATTAGAAAATGATGGAGTTCTTTGAAAAGATTGACGGTGGTAAAATGTAGAGGATTAGACTGATAATCCCCCCCATCAGTGGATCGGCCTCTTTTTTATTTTTTTTTAGCATGAGGTCTCAGGATATATTTATTACTACTGCTAACAGCACCAACACAGACTGAAAGCCTACATAGAGTCCCTATAATCTGTAGCACAAATAGAGGTGTTTTATATACGTGTGTGTGTGTGCTTTTTCTTGTGTGAGCAGAAGGGACGCTGGACGATAGAGATGCATTAGAGGCAGAAACTAATAGTAAGAGACAGAGCAGGCTTTGTTGAACGGAGAGTAAGATAGAAAACATGCACCTGCGAGGACACAATGTGGAGCCCAATATTTATGTCTGTTCATTGACTGGAATGTTGCTGTTCTACCTTTACTGTGTGCATGTGTGCGCACCAGGCCGGCCTTAATAAATTAAACCTAAAGTCATGCTTTGTTGTTAATAGCTCCTCTGAGGATATGGTCATTTGATGCAACTCTTTTCTCAAAGCCCAGTGCATTTCTCTTCATAGTGGCGGCTGTTTACCTCAGGATGATTACTCACCGGCAGCTTTTGTTTACCCAGCTTTTTATTTACAGCTGCATCCCCGGTGTGCAAGCATGCGTGTGAGGCTTTATGAGGGCGTTTGTGCGCGAGAGAGGGAGTCCGTGGGATACCACGTGCAAGTCTGCCTGTGGCTCTGCTCCCAGAATATAAAAAGATGACATTAAGCCTGGTCCTGGTCCCTCACTGTGACGCCCGTCCCCCACGACGGCATCAAAACAACTCCCGTGTCCCACGTCACGTAGCAGGAGGGCCACATCATGAAAGAGCAAAAATAACACACACCGACGGCATCGCGCACCAAACAACCACCCCTCCCTATAGTAACGACGCCGCGGCTCCGGGCCGAGAGATGAAAAGAAAATCACATCCAGGCACCTGGAAAACTGACATCAGCAATTAAATCAAGCGCTCCTAATGCGGCTCCCTAGGGGTATTGCACAACAGCCTTTTCCGGATGCTCGGAGAGTGACTTTGCTCTCGTGTGACTTTCCATCGGATGATTCGAAAGTGCTGCGTTGACACAGCTGGATGTTGTGACATATCTCCCCTGCTCTAATTTCTTACCAGATGAAAGGGTTTGGGAGATTTCCCTGCTGGATTTTGCATCCATTTAGATGGTGTCACGTGACATTGTGGTAGCTACATTAAAAAGTTTGAGCTAAGAATAATAAGATGCTGTCGGGGCTTCAGGTGAGCTGATGTAGTTTTAAATGAAGGCACCGGGATGACATTGTGATGGAGAATAGAAACACCTTCACAGCTGTGATTCAGCATTTACCAGTTTAGAAGTCGTCATGAATTAGTTCCTTGCACTAACAGAGAGAACAGAGCTGCTACTTCACCGAGATAGTTCTTCTTTCTTATATATTGTATGTTATATGTCCAAGCAGTCTATATGCACTAATGTCTCACTGGACTGAGTTCTGTGGTGGGAAAAAAACGATTCAATAGTACAGAGTGAGTCCTATAATACTGAATACTGAAACATTGAGGAAAGAAGTTTGTCTTTAAAGTAATTATTTATTGGCCAGAGAAGGCTTTCATCGTCATGCTGACTGCAGCGCAGTCTGCAGAGGATGAGCCAAGAGTTCAGTTCCTGACATGCTTATAAGCATCTCAGCACACAGGGGGGGAACATCAGGTATTTACATTATAACAACTGATCAGCAGTTTCAAGCTCCCCATTGACCCCTCCAGTCACCCCCTTCATCTTCTGAGCCTTGTCACACAAAGACATGTCTTTATTACTCTCGCCTATCTCTGAGAATCTTCACACCTCAACATTCTCTGGTTAAACTGCACCCCCATTGAGTCACTCCCTCTTATCAAAGCAACAGCCCAAGATACCCCATATGGTCCTGTTACCACTCTCCTAGGTAACAATCATATGTCACATATATAGTTTTGTGAGTGAGTAAGGCACATAAACTAAATCACTGTACTAGCACAGGGAACACTCTCTATCACAGTTCTCTCCCTGCTGTTTAGGGAAACAGGTGTGGTTTTGCTCTTGCATTTTGTGGTTGAAAAATGTCACACTCAAAACTGTTCGTCTCAGTTAAGGTGTGACTGTTGAGAAAACAAAGTTGTTTTGTGCTAATGCAGGAAATATGAGGGGAGCAAACAACTTGACTGTTACTGGAGACTTTATATCTCACACCAACGGTCATCATTTGCTCCTTGTGACCAATAAGGAGATCTCATCATAGCTGTAACCAAGCACACACACCTGACCTCACACAGACCACATCCGCTGCTGGCTGTTTTCAATAGAAACATACCAAGAGAGGGCAGTGAAAGCTCGTCATTAAGTTGCACTTTAACCACAAGATTTCCAGATTAGATAACACTTGTTGAATATTCCTATGAGTGTTTTTTGCACGCAGTGATTGATAGTTGTTGGTTAGGAGGGCTAGGATAGTTTTCTCTGTTGCGGCCAATTATTGTAACGGCAATGAAATCTTCCTATGTGCAGCGATGAGGCCCATTAGGTGGTGAGACATCACCGCAACACAATCAAGATAATAAATTCTGGGTATTTATTCAGTGTAAATGTTGAATACAACTAATTTGATTCTGATATTTACCTTTAAATGCTATGTTCGAATACAACTGCCATCGTTCAGCCCAGCCGTCCCTAGGACTGGCATCTAGTGCATGCTCACTAGATGTTCCTCCACATGTTTGTTTTTCAAAGATACATTTTCTTATTTCTCAGTTTGATGCGAGCTGCCTTGGCCCTAAACCCACTTTAGACCTTATTTAGACTCAGGTGATCTAGCCTGCTGTCTTACATCAGTCATTCAGTCGTACCTGTAAATGTCTCGAGCCATCCCAAAATCCCCAATCTTGGCGACGCGGCCCGGCCCTTTGCAGGTCAGGAGGCAATTCCGAGCTGCAATGTCCCTGAAAGATGAGCAGAAAAACAAACGCATACAGACGGTCAGGTCTACAGGTTCATACATAGCCATAAAGTGTACCGTATATAATACTGAGCATTGACATTCACACAGCTCTGCTCATGCCTCGTCTCTTCACTAGCGTCATATATTCACATCTATAAGAGAGCTCCATGGATGAAACACCTACAGACGCTCCCCTATTGCATCTGGAGTTCAGTGTAACTAAGTTGCCCTGGGCAAGCTGCTAAAGTGTATCGTTTCCTACGGTGCCTTTATAGCTCTGTCCACATGGCACATCAAGGGACAAGATTGAAATGTTCCACAGTAATGGCAGACAGAGTGGGTTAGAAGAGAACATTCATAACTTTCATATTTGCACTGTACTGGTTTGGTTAGTGTTTGAGAAATTGCAGTAGTTCACACAGCAATCTCCTCTCCCAGCCCACACGCTCTATTCTGCTCCCCAGGCGTCTAACTTTCTCAACATCCTAAGAATTGACGTCGTGAGCACACTGCTCATCATCACACTAGAGACAAGTGCACACGAGGGACAATAAATACCCAGAATTCAACATCAAAATAACATCATGTGACACTGTGCTCAAACTGGATCATGAGACAGGGCAGCGCTGGAAATGAGAAACTAGCAGTGAAACAAGCTGAGTGTGTAAACAGCAACACATTGTGTGATGTTTGACCTCCACACTCTGATGAACATGGATGTGAAATGACACAATGAGGATAAAGTAATAGTTCAGACTGATTTAAACTGAGGGCCGTTTAACACGGGGACTACACTATGCATGGCTGCCCCACTTCTATGTGCCAGAAGTGTTTGCAACTATTCCACTTATAATATGATAGCACTACTTCAAGCTTGATATGAAGTTATTTAGTATGAAATAAAAGAACAACATTGTGTGTAGGGCTTCCATTTGCTACCCCGCCCAATTTAGACTGAAGCAGTTAAACGAGTGTCGGTAGCTACTGAGATTTTACTACATTGTGGTATCACATAACACATTGTTATTGAAGGAAAAGTAGTGTATGAATCAGTCCATGGAATAATATATATTATAGCATACAATCAGCAGGCGTGTACACAAACACAAGTTCCTTTCTCATGAGGTGCTGGAGCTAAATCCAATCAGTCCTTGTTTAGTGGCTTGGTAGAATTCATGCAAATGATTTGCTTTTGCTTGTAGGCAAGTACGAGCCTTGAAATGCAGCAGGAGCGATCACCGACTGCTGGCTGAGGGCTTTAGGGAAGGACACAGTGCTATTGTACATACAGCCCAGTGATGTGAGAGCAGGCTGTTATTAAAACAATATTATTTGACTCACAGACCTTATTTACAGCAAATTTTAACTGCAGTTTAAAGACCCATTTCATTGCAGCACTTTAAGGAACAATCTCTATAACCAGTCTATTTTAACATCCCAGGTTGCATGAAACTACCCGGCTCTCCTCGGCACAGTGCTTCTTTTCAGGTGGCTTCAACTTCCAATGCGAGTACCAAGCCTGTTGTCAAATGAAGTAACGAAAGAGGTAATACAATACCCCCCCCAACAAAAATGGCCCAAAAAAACAGATGCATCAGGGTCTTTCTCACCAACTTGTCAAAATCGGGAGCTTGGTCAGTGGCACAATGCATCAAACGATGACACTCCCCGTATTCATCTAGCAGGCTTGACTGCCTGTAATTATGACTGTAGTAAAGGAAGAAGTCAGGTGACATCGTATTAACAGCAAAGAAGTCCTTGTAGGGAGGAGCTCCGTGTGAAATGAAAAGTCAATGTTGACTCGAGTACGTAAGTTAACTTCCTTTAACCCAAACCACCATCTTTTCTCTAACCTAAGCAAATCATTTTGTTGCCTAAACCTAATCAGGTAATACAAGGTTACAAGTTACAAGGTTCATTTGTTCTCATACAAAATGCGTTTTGTTGTCACATTTTGCTATGTAAGAAATATAAACACAAACAAAACCTATATCATGTGGTGGAGGGTGGAGGATGAATTTATCAGTGTGACTGGAGGGAAGATGCTGCTCTGTAGTCCGGTGGTACTGCAGCTGATTCTTCTCTACATCTCGCCAGACGGCAGCATGGTGAACGGGGGTAGGTATTGTCTTTTATAAGGAATATTAAAACAATATAATATCACACCAACATCACTGATTCTCAATAGATGGGTGCTAATGATGTAGAGCCCCTATTGTCTTGGGCAATGCACATCCCTTGACAGTTTGTAAGGTTTGTAGTCAAGATGCTTTCTATTGCTCCTCTGTAGAAGTTAACAAAAACTTGGCACAGAGTTCTCTTCGTGTCAGGGGAAGCAGTCGTGGGTGTACTGCGACTGTACAGGAGGGGGCTGAGCACACTTGGCTCTGTATGCAAACTGGTGAGGGTCCAGGCTGGCTGGGATGTTGTTTATGATGTGCTGGAGAACCAGTTTCTCAAAGATGGGGTGAGTGCCACCGGGCGGTAGACATTTAGACCGGACACAGCAGACGTTTTAGGTACAGGAACAATGTTGGCTGTCTGAGGCAGGTGGGAACACCCTCTTGTCACAGTACTATGTTGAAAATGTCAGTGATGCTATTAGGCCCAGCAGTAGCTGGTCTTCAGGAGGCGGGGCAGCTGCCTCTTTATTGAGGAGGTCAAAGTGCTAAAGGGGGACCAGTGTGTTGAAAAGTGATGTCAAGGTCCGGACCAAGCTGCCGTATTAAACAAGTTGGGAGTGAGTTGGATAGAAACAGACAAAAGCCAGAGTAAGTTATTCTCAGACAGCATTAAAGTTGTTGGAACACACCACAGTTCACATCACTCGACCCTGTAATCCCTGAGAAAAGGCTGCCTTTTCTGAGGAGCGGCTACTCCTCCGCCCTACCTCGTTCACCTGCCCTTTACTCGACCCCGGGTAAACACACCTCCATAAAAATAGAAATTAGCCTCAAGGACAGTGTTAGGATGAATTTTAATACAGGTTTGAAGGCAGAAAAACGGCCTGTATAGAAGCTCACAAGCCTCCAAAGAAGAGTCGGCCATTAGACGGATTGATGGGGCTTTGCTGTGCCACGTTAGGGCAAACACGCTTTAATAGGCCTCGTTTGTCATTGGCCAATTCATAGGAAGTCAAAAAGAGACATGAAGGAAGAGGAATGCACTTTAATTGTCTTGATGTGATTGTGGGAGAAACTTTGACCTTTTTGACATGTACTTGACTTTCTGCACTAGACATCCATGAAGGAGATGGATTTATTTCAATTCTTTCTCCTCGGGTTCACCAAAAGCTGTGAATATGGATATAGAAGGAGACTTGTGCCTTGGATACGGACCGTAAAAAGGCAAGCCGGCTATCCCATCTGGCTGCTCTGCTAAACTCATCACTTGTCCTTTCTGCTATCATATGAAAGGCAAAAGGCATGCAGAGTCCATATGTTACGCCTGGACGGATGCAGTCAACTCTTAATTCTGAGTAGAAGTCAGCAAATGAATCTGGACTGTGTTTGTTGTCCTTTGCATTCCATATGTATATGCATAATCATGTGTGTTGTATTTTCTCTCTGTAATCTGTTTAGGTAGGAGGAATACAACCATGTGCTGTGTTTTACTGGTGGTTTGGCACATTCATGTGCAGAATGTGAGGTCGTCTGGTGAAGTACCTGTGTATAAATTGGTTCTCCTCCAGATACTGGCAGCCCTTTGCGATGTCTCTGGCCACACTGAGGAGGTCCACCATGGTCAGGCTGGACGGGTGCTCCTGATCACATAAGAAATAGAGAAATACCCAGAATCCAATGTTAGTGATTATATCTGAGGCAGATTTAGAAATAAATCAGAGGTAGTACACATTGTGGTTGTAAAATTACGAGTTTGAAAATCTGGTTGATCTAACTTGGATCATAGTGGCTTCAATTCTGGGCTTCAATTACGAGAACAGTCGTAGCTTAAGGTGGTTCAAATAATAGATAATGCACTTTTCAATGATATGCAGTTGGGCGTGTCTCACCAGCCGGGGTCTGGTCTCCCTCAGGAAAGACTTGAGGTCTCCTCCGGTCATCAGCTCCAACAGGATGAACCTTGGCATGGCCTGCAGACTGACTCCTATACAGCGCACAATGTTCTGGTGGCTGAACTTACTGCAGGGACATAAACGCAGCAGAGAGAGTGCATCAGAAATGGCTTTGTTGGCAGCGTTGGAGAGACAGAATTCTGTTAGTTGTCTAAGTGGCTTACCTGATAATTAGAGCCTCCATGAGGAAGTCCAATTCGTCTTGCTCAGAGCAAACCTCAGGAAGGGTCTATTGTGAATACAAAAACAAATAGGATTCTCAGTGCAATGAATGGCTAGAAGTTCTATATACAGCCTCCATCACTGCTTACGTCCATCTCACAATCCATTGAACAAAACCCAGAGGTACTTCAACTCCTTCGCTTCCTATCCTAAGTAAAGTTATTCTTAGTACAATGTGGACTAAAAATTAGTTTACAAGTCCCCGTGAAAAAAAAGTCTTGATCCAAAGGTCACCTTGACTGCCATTTGCAGTGGGCTCGGTTCACCTGGTATCCCCACTGCCAGCCCTTCATAGACTTCACCGAAAGCACCATGACCCAGGCCCCTGGAGACACAAACACATTTATTTTGTATTATTTCATTCTCATTGAATTGACATTGAGCTGAAGGCATTGGCAGCAGCCAGCAGCATGACCACATGTGCAGTACTCGGTAAAGAAATGAGAGCAATGGAAGAAAATCAACAGCTCAGCAGCCATGCTCGTCCATTTTATAAATTTGCGATTCACCAGGTGATGAGGCGATGGTGAACTTTGACACCAAATTATAGTTTGGATTTCAACCTTTGCAGCCATTTAACTTGATTCATGGCGTGAATAAATCTAGGTGCAAGAAAAATAATTAATTACAAAGATTAAGAACCAGAACGATAAACTGGTGAACTATAATCACATGATAAAAAGAGCCCTGCTGAATGACTGCAGTAGACCCATACTTTAGAAGACTTTAATATTTCAGGCTTTATTGAAACTGCTACCTCTCACATCATGCTGTGTTTATGAGTCCACCCTATTGAAATAGTTGGTGCGACTGGATTTTCATTACAATTGCAGTGAACAGCTTCATCTGCCCTGTTCGTTCACATCCTGCTCGAGTCAGAGTGTATTTAACTGGTACTGAACTGGTTCACGCAGTCTTTCTGTAGCGATGAGATCATAGTGTCGGCTCTTGTACCTGGTGAGGGAGATGTTGCGCCGCGGTACTTCCTTCAGGTCGTTGACCGACGCCGTCTTGCCGGCGAAGCAGTAGTTGGGGTTGTAGTCGGTCATGATGGTGGACGCCCGCAGCTTACTGAGCTTGCAGTCTGGACTCTGCAGCTCCAGCTGAATAGACTGCAGCTCTGTGTGTTTACGTCTGTACACTGGCGGGATAACAAAGGAAAAGACTTTAACTCCACTACTGAGATATCTGCAATTTAAAAAAAGAAAAATGCAAACAAAGCCTTTAACACATCTTCTTGTAGAAAATGATTGCTGGCAGCCAAAGCACACAAAGCTTCTCTATTATTATTCCTCTTAAGACCTTTTGCTTGTACAACAGCATTTTGTTATGAATTACAATTCCTTTGTGTCTGTGAAATATTGATTCCTCTCTATCTGATGACAGATTTGTCTTTCTAAATGATTCACATAAATAATGTTCCCGAATTAGACCCTCAGTGTTTGAAAAGGTCTTGTAGATTTGTACCATCACATGTGTATGGCAGCAGTATGCATAAAACCAAGACAGGTTGCACCTCCTCCTTTAAACAAATGCACCTTTAACGTAGAGCAGCCCATTGTATGAAGACGTTTTTCTTCTCTCACGCACACACACATCACACACATCACACACTCTATAGTGCTGGAAGCCTCTACGTGAGCTGGAAAACACATTAGTTGCAGGGAGAATTGTTTATGTGTGTATGCTTACGTGTGTGTGCAGGGGAGTTATTTATTTACCAAGTGCTTTCTAATGTAGCAGTGCTGTCAGCCGCCGGCTGAGCAGCCATCCATCATTAGCGCATTTCATTCATCACCTCAGTTCCCGCCTCGTCTTGCTAATGTGTGTGCACTTGTGTAGGTGGGAGACTGTGTGTGTGTGTGTGTGTGTGTGGAAGAGATGATGTCTCAATGAGTGCTTATGTCTGGCTGTAATAGCCTGAAAGCAGTCGAGCAGACGTACGTCTGCGTTGGCCGCGAGGTTCACTTCAACAACCTGCTGAGGGCCGTCTGAGAGACCAGACACTGGGGAACTTTATATATATGTGTGTGTATATGAGAGAGAGAATATGTGTCTATTGGACAAATTGAAGCAGTAAATACAAATACTAATGTAATGTACAACTCTCAGGCATTTAGCAGCACAGTCCAGTCCAGTAAAGAAAAACTATGATCGTCAACAACCGTTTTTTTACAACACCGTGAGACGAGACTGACGTCATAAAACACTAACAGTAACTATATCAACATGCAATGGTGTTGACGGAAAAAGAAGAGATTAAAATGTTTGGATAATATCTCTTCTACAATATCTCATTTTCATTGACAAAAAGAAAATACACAAAATATTAGACCATCAATGCAGCAGTTCCGTTTCTTGTGCTGAGCGTGTCAGTTTCGTATCCTGTGCCAAGGAAGTCTATCTGCACGTGCACAGTACTCCAGCACACGCTAAGTACACACAGTTCTAGGATTAGGCACCAAAACTACTCCGCTAGGTTCAGGTGACCAAAGTACTTAGTTGGGTTTAGGTGCAAAAAATACCTCCTGGTTAAGTTTAGCTGCCAAAACTACTCTGTTTGGTTTAGGTTTCCCAAAAGTACTTGTTTAGGTTTTGGCACGAAAGCTGCTTGGTTGGTTTAGGACAAGATCATGTATGGGTTAAAATAAGTACAGTACTGTGAGATAAACAGTGTCTCCCACAAACATATGACAGCGTTATCATATCAGTTAACATGTTGTTGATCCAAGAACCGCACTCAGGCACATATCACACCATATTATGTAGCATTTAGCTTGAACCATAAGTTACACAATACGCACATGCACACATTCACAATGTTATAAATGAAAGGATGAACAAGCGACTAGATTGACTGAACTGTTCTATCGAATTAGAAAATGACTAAAATATAAGGCTAAATATATAGTCATGAGGCTACAATATCCAGACTTTTAGTCAACTTATATAAAAAAATAAAATAAAAACAGGATACGGTTAACTAAATATGATCGATCATAACACGGACATTCATCTCAGGACTACAACTAAGACTAAATAACAAATGATCCGTCAACACTTAGTCTCTTTACGAGCACGCTGACTCACTTATCATGACCCCGGACACAGCCAGCAGCAGGGCGGCGATGAGGGCGGAGGTGCCCACAGACAGACCCAGCGCCAGGTGGGAGAGAGACGGCTGGGGGGGCAGCAGGGACACCTCTGCAGGGCAAAGGAAACAACAGCGTCCCACAGTTGTTATCTTCCCCCAGAGGAGTATTAACATTCACTTCGCCACTCTGATCCCCCACTTAATTAATGATGTAAAAGCGATGACACAACAGAGCTTAGGAACAGCAACGCCAGTGCATGTCAATTCCCTTTTCAGGGGCAGGGGGGGAGATCTCACTGCACTTGTCTAAGCTCAGGGGAAAGAAAGGAATCTGCACACAGAGAGCGAGAGAGAGAGACCGTATTGAGATTGTGACCTTTTTTGACCTAGCATCATAGAATTATCTATTGCTCGTCATTACTGAGAACAGATTTGCAAATCATAGTGCAAGGAGAAACTCTAGGTCATGAAGATAGCATTGAAATGGTAATAGCCCCGTTATTTTGCTTCACATTATAAAGAGACATTCCGCCACATTAATTCATTTCAGATCTACATTCACGTACTCGGGATTCATCTGAGATTACAAATCATAATTGAAGGGGCAACTCTAGGTCCAGAGGGGGGGTTGTCTACACTCCTTTGTTGCAGTTTATCCCAGGGAGAAGACACGGCACATGTGTGAATACAGATGTTTTTAGGTTGAAATGGTCTAATGCACAGAGCCAGTCGCAGGATAATGAAGCCCGTTGTGAAATGCCTTCAATACAATATGTACAATATCACTACATGAGTATCCAGCTGTTGCCTTTCAGCCTAAATCCTTCGCATGATAAGAGAAAGAGCTTTTATCTGGTTGTAGCACAGAGATACATCACAGAGCAGCTAATACTGTTATAGGTGTACCCATTGTTTATTAATGGCTTAACTTATGCTAGGGATTGATTATATTATGAATGATTAAAGCACAGTTTAAAAGAAGCCAACCTTTCCTCAGATAAAGATGCCATTAAGTGCAGAGCCTTCCAGGCTTAATTACTTCTGCAGATTAATTCATCAACTGCTCACTGAGTCACAGTCTATTACAGGTACAATTACATTCAGCTTAAGTCTTTTCTGCGGTTGGATTAATTCCACACACTTGTGTGGAGAAAAGAGGGTCCTCCATTGTGTTGTGTGTGCAGTTCTCCATGTCAGACCTGTGGCGTTGATGCAGGACACCCCGTCTGGCGCCAGAATCAGGCCTTCATCACAGTAGCAGACGATGCCGGCCTTGGTCTCGTGACATTCGTCGCTGTCGCAGTGGCTGCAGTTCTGCACCGGACTGATGATCACCTCGCCATCCCCCTCCATAGCTTCACACACACACACACAATACACATTTTGACCAATGGATTTCCATGACTTTTCCATGACTTTAAACCAAATTTCCATGACCAAACATTTTGTGAAATCTCGGTGTATACATGAAAAAGTGAGAAAATGTAGTATTTAAACTAACAATGACAATTCCAAAGCATACAGTATACCTTAAATGACACAAACGAATGAGAGACAATAGTTTGATTAAAAGAATAAACATTTATAAATATACTCTGGTTGACACCGACACATCCATAAGAGCTTTAGTAGGTAGTAGCATCCAGCTAGTGCACATATTGCTTTCCCTTTTGTAGTGCAAATGTTTCATTGAACCCTGTTACTGTATGGCCTAATATTAACTTCCACTGTTACTGTACAGCTGTTGGAATTGTGGCCTATCTTCTATTTGCAATTAATATGCATTCAATCCAGTTCAATTATTTAAATGAAAATGATAATCTACTCTGGCTATGGTAGTTTATCAAGAGTAAAATAATAGCTGTGATCTATACACACCTCTGCATTAGTAACCTGCTGAAATGAAGGTACAGGCACCTTAACCCTCATTACTTCAGGGCTCTTGGGAGCAACGTGGGACTGTTGTGACTGTTAGTCCACTGTCTGTGGTCATTACAGTGAACAGTGTGTACAGTGTGATGAGAGGACATGTGAGCCCTTGTTGCTGTAGTTCATCTCCTTGGAGCAGAGGCTGCATTTAGCATAACCTGCCTTATTATCAATGTATTTAAAACACTGTGACAGCAGGAAGCTGTACTCATGTCTGTTTAGACCTCCACCTTTATCCAGGCCCAGCTCCACTCACAGCTCAGCCCTGCGTCAAGCTGCGCTACACAAACAGCCTCCTCTCCCTGGAGCTCTTTGACCTCATCATCTCATCAGTATCTGGGCCTCATCATCGTGGTCATGAAAGTTATTCTGACCACGAAATCATCCTCATTCTACTTTGAGTTAAAAAAAAACAACAACCTGCAACCAGATGCGCTGGTGTTCCGGTTTAACGTTAATGAGTGACCGCGTGAACTGAACCGGAACATGGGGGGGCTGCATGTTTCATCACGTTACGTTTTTTCCTTCTAAATCGCGATAATGACGAACGTTAACAGTCGACAAAGTTCCGCATGCAGTGGACGTTAACTTAACCCAGCAAGTCTGACCTGTAATGGAACATAACGTAAATTAAACTTTAACGGAGGGAAATGAAGACGCTGTACACATCTGAACGCTGATTGGCCAAGACTCGACACGTCAAAGATGTTCTATTGCGAAGATCACATCACATTTTCTCCTCGTCTCACTCCAATCTGAGAAACGCTGGCTGGCAACTCACCATAAATGAACGACATGAAAATATGAATATAACACATTTCCATGACTTTTCCAAAACTTTTGGGATTTTATTTTTTACCATGACTTTTCCAGGCCTGGAAATAACCATTTTAAAATTCCATGACTTTTCCAGGTTTTCCATGACCGTACGAACCCTGCACACAGGATCCTAATTTGAACATGTTTGAGGACGGCTTTTCTAGAATTTATACTCGCCACCATTAAAAAGATCACAGTGTCAATAATAACTAACACCTCACAACCTCACACTTCTCTGATGTTTTTTTGTCATTCAAAAATTAATATGAATCTGTAAAGTAGCACTGGAGTTCAAACACCATTCTGCATTGCATCAGAATTGTATTCGTGGTCAACAGGTCTACTGGCACAGCTCTCGTCTTTAATTTCACCAGCAGTGCCCTGCAGCAGCACATGAGTCGGGCCAGGGTGCGTCCTTGTGCTGAGGGCTCATTGGAGCTTCTCTTAAACTGAACCAATGCACTAACTGGAACTGAAGGTGTGCTAATGGGTGATTGATCTGCTGTGATCTTGGCTGGAACCAAACCTGCAGACTCTCCGCCTTCAAAGACAGCTGCTCATTCCGCCATAGAAACTTCATTTATTTTAAAAAGAAACAATTTTCTTAATCATAAACTACAGCAAGCGCAAGTGAGAATCAGGCCAACATGAATTAGTTATGGGCTGCCTGTGAAGGCTTGTGCTGTTTAGTAAGCAAAGCAAACGCACTCATCTGCAGAATCTGTTTTCTCTCATCATTCCGTTATCAGCTTTATAAGTGCAAATACATAAATCTAACCCAGAAACAGTTGAAAGGATTCGACGGAAGAATACAAATGGCTGAAGTACAAATGTCGACTGCATACTGATGCGTGGGTGTGATGCTCCGTGTTGTGGATCTTGAATAAAAAGCTGAAGATGATTCCTCTAAAGAATTTTACCAATATTTTTAAAGATATAATGGTAATGGAGAAACAGTTAAACTATCAAAGCTAGACAAGTATACGGATGAATCGTTTTCCTCCTTTAAGCTTGTTGAATAATGAATTTCTTGAATTGCCATGAACATGGAAAATGTAATTGTATTAGAGGGATTAACCCCTTGACTTCAAAGGAGGTCCTTAACACTAAGAAACAGAAAATACAGAACAGGAAAGGTAACACAGGACAAGAATACACAAACAAAGGCTCTCCCTAGACAAGCCGTTGCACTAAAAGAGTCAGAATACATGCAGTTAATGTCTGCATACCATACAAGTCTGTACATTCACATGCACCGAGACGTTAGCCCTGAATTATTGCCATGTCTCAAGTATAATTAGTAAATAAGTAAGAAGAGATGCCTTAAAGAAATGAATGGAGGTAATAGATCTAAGTGAGCTGGGCCTTAGCCTCTACAATGACCTCTATCAAATTCAAAATATTTATAAATATGAAGGATAGTTCAAGAAAATGCATATGAAAATATATTCTTCTAAACTTCGGCATTAACCAATTTAGGGACGGAGACTTTTATAGACTACGTTAACAGGAGGAAGGTTTGTTTCTGAGGTCTTATAGACAGTATCCTTCTCTTTCATACAGGAGGAGTAGGATTCATTGAAGCTCTCCTGGCCTCTAGTAACATGAATGTTTTCCTCAGGGCCTCCCAGCACCCAGTAACGCACAATGCTGGATGACAGTGTAGTCCTGTCTGTGTCCTTTAGGAGCAGCCTGTGGTCAGTGGATTAGGGCACACTGTATTGCAATCCGGTTGCCTGTGTCAACATTAACGCTGTGCTTTGTGATCCTCTTTTGGGCCTTTCGGTTGTCCGGCATCACCTGCTGCTTTTATCTGAGCTGGTGAAGCTGCCACTTCAAGCTGAGGAGGAAACTACCGGCGCAGCCGTCTGTAATTACAACTTCAAACAGCAAATGTCTTTTAACCCTGACCTTTACACAGACGACATGCTTTTAATCTATCAAATAGCAGATATTACCACTTGATATTCCGCCTTTTGTGTTATGATAATGATTCTGGCCTTCTGGAAATTCCAAGTATATTAATCTTGCCAAACTCACTCTCTGTCTTTTCATGTACACACACTCACATTTCTTCAAAGTTAACAGTTTCTTCTGCAGGAATCTAAAACATTTAATCATAGAACCTTATACACATGGATGTGGACTTAACATTTCTTATGTTAATCTTTATTATCTGTCACATAATGTTATATTTTCTTTGTCCCAAGACTACAAAAGTGTGTATTTGGGTGTTGTTGCTTGGTCAGCACAACAGTTAACGGCCTTAACTTTACTGTGAAAATAGTTTGAATAGTGGATGGAATATCCTTTTTTTAAGTAACAACATAGAATATAGCAACGTGTTAACCAGCCTCAATAGAGAATAGAGAAGAATGAGAATAATGTGGGGTTTGAAACACGCTATTGCAATTTCAGTTTAATTTACAGCTGAAATTCACTCTGAAGTCTTTTTCTGCTGGAGGAAATGAAGCGAATTTGATGACAAACTGAGGAGTGGGAGCACTATTAAAGCTCAATGGGAGAGAGATATCAGAGCGTACTCTGCTACAGCCCAATGGATGGAAGACAATTCTAAAAAGCACTTCAAATTCTATTTCACATTTTCCCCTTTTCGCTGAGTGAAGAGGGAGTCTTACATGATATATGGATGGCCACTGCTCCAGCTGAAATGTTCAGTCAGACTGTGTTTCTAGTACCTGTCAAGTTCAAGTGTGTGTGTAACAGGTCTACACGAGATGGATTTATCGAGCTCTGGAGGCGTTTTAATCAAATAATCTGGGAGTGTCTTCTGTCAGAATGGAAAACTCCCGACTCTCATCCCCGTGGCTGGCCATATCTGCTGCTGCACATTTTTTACAATATCCTCTTTTTGATTTGACAGGGTGAGGCAACTCACTCTCATCGTGCTGTAAAAATCTATCAAGGTTATGTGTTGTGAAAGCTCGTACCGTAGGAAGCAAGTCAGGTGCGCCACAACAAGAACTCATTTAAAGTGCCAATAGACGTTCATTGGCGGACTGGTTTGTCTGTATCACATTACCTTTCAGAGGGTAGAGGAAGGGCTCTCCCTCCGGACCGAGGAAGGAGGTGCCGTCGTCGCCGTCGTGTTTGGGGTTGTTGTCCACGGAGGTGTTACCACCTAGAGACCAGGTGGGCAAACACAGTGACAAAACCTCAGACGAAACAACACATGGTGTATTCTACGTGGATTGAACACAAACATTTGAAAGCACATTTCACGGACAGAAACACGAGGATTGCAAGTGTCACATCATCCGCTGTAATCACAATCGCACCCAATCGTACAGATTTGTATTAACATATTTACATATTTCATCCTCGTGTGTCCCAATGCATTCTAATGTAACAGTTATTTGCATTTGTTCCTACCACCCTTTTTGCCATATTCATATTTCTTATTATTTATAATTGCGTCTTTTCATGCCTTATGCTGTGTACTTCCATCTGTTGTTATGACCCAGTTATCTACTGAGGATTATCTTATACGACAAACACACTGCTGAATGATATACACGCAGTACAAGGAGATACAAGGTGTCGATACTTTGATCCTGTGTTCAGTCTACTCCAGAGTGATTCACACTTGATCGAGCAGTTAGGAGGGACAGGACATGCAGCTGGGATTCAACCGGATCCCTGATCTGTATAAACTCTGTCACCCTTTCAAATTCATTATAAAACACAGATGAGGTTATATCTGACAGCTCGTCACGATTGCTTTTTATTAAACCCCAGACTTGCAGTAAAAGCCTTGCAGCACTCTCGGACTAACCTCTGTAGCCTCCGCCGGCACCGCCCGACATACAGCCACCTCCGCCGCCCCCGAAGCCGCCGCTGGTCTGCCAGAACTTTTGACAGGCCTGCCCTCCCTGGCCTCCAAGCACCAGCGGTCTGCCCCCCTGACTGACAGGAGCCCTGTCATTCCAACCGCCGCCTCCACCTGTCACCAAACACAACACACCTTTGATGTAATGCGGAAGTAATACGCTGTGGAGGGAATCAGTGTGTGTGTGTGTGTGTGTGTGTGTGTGTGTGTGTGTGAGAGAGAGAGAGAGAGACGCATAGAGAGCGAGCTCTTAAATGGGTCAATGTTATGGGAAAAAGATGCTAAACTGCAGAAATGCATGTATATATTGTAGGCACACACACACACACACACACAAAGTATCCAATATTCTCTCTCACACACAAACATCAATCCCCTGTTAGTGATAACAACACTGGTTACAGCAGAGACTGAAAATATAAAGATCCTATAAAAGAGTCCTGGTAACACGAGATTAAAGTCACAGCTAATAAACTATTCCCTCCCATATTCTCTAACAGTAGAAAATTTAATTTTCCTCCTTTCATTTCCCTTCCACTCTGGCGCCTGAGAGATAGCAAATGAAAAAAAATAAATACACATCACACCACACTGGCAACAAAACCCGCCAGACCTGCTAAATATTTCATTTTTCATTCACAGGGATTCCTCAAAAGTAAACCTTGGGCTTTGTGACGATGTGGAAATCAATAACTTCTGTTTTCTGGGCTGTTCGTCAACTCTGAGCACATGAATAATGCAGCCTGCAGTGGGCATGGGTGGAACATTCCACCGGTAGATTGGAGCATGTAGTTCTGCCGAGCTATGACGGGGGAACCGAGTGCTCCGTATGAATAAACATGAGCAGGGCCACGCTGTGATTTGTTTTTTGCCCAAACACAACCACCGGCACACCTAGTGTGGAACGTCTAAGAAGCACACGCATGGAGACGGAGGATAACACCTTCAGGGTGAATGGATGTGTTTACGAGTACAGGTAGACATTCAGGCTATCTGTGAACTTGTTAGTGTGTGTGCATGCTGAAGGGAACACAATGCACAACGCCTTTCTCATCATAAAGTGGGGAAAGATAAACCTGCTACTCTACAGCACCGTAGTGGGCTATTTAGTCATCTGCTCATCTCATTCACACTCACTACACTGGCTCCCTGGACCTTGCACACGCACAACACACATACAAGTGGTACCCACACACATAGCAAAGCGGTGTGTCGTGTACCTGCAGCGTTTGACTTCCCGCTGCGTCCCGGTTGGCTGGGGTCATAGTCCATCTGCTCCAGCTGGGTCTCTGATAGGCTGCTGTAGCCCCGGCCACCTCCCCCAGCAGCGATGATGAGGGGGATATACACCTCTTTGTCCACCTGCGTGATTTTTGTTTACAGTTCGATTCATGTGCTGGTATCTGCTCTTCAAAATGAACACCTCAACATTTTTGAGAAATGATGGTATTTGCTTTCTGTCTAAGAGTTAAAGGAGAAGATTAATACCAGCTCATGTTTGTATGGTAATTATGGTGCTGGGGCTACTAGTTGGTTAGCTTAACTTAGCTTAGCTTAGCATAACATGACAGCTAGGCTGATCCGTCCAAAGGAAACTAAATCTGCCTACCAGCAGCTGTTTGATTAATGCGTACAAAAACCTAATTCCTTTCATTTTACTCTGTGCAAGAAAGCCAACGCACATAATTATTAAAATGTGAAAGTATTCCTTTAAAGGAATACTTTGGATTATAGAAGATTGGCATGTTGGTCAGCTCTCTATATGACATACTTTACCCTTTATTTGGTATGGCTTACTATTGTATAAACTTGTTATAGTATTTTATAAACTATCAAACTATGACTTGTTATGAGTAACTGTACCAAGACTTTTCATGACAAGCTATACAATTTTTACCTCATAATATGACCTTTTGACATATTCTATGATGTTCTGTGACATATTATTCTATGACTTTTTAAGGAATACTAACCTATGGCTTTTATGTTATCCTATACTATGACTTTATTATGACATACTGTACTATGGATTTTGATGACACATTCTACTTTTTAATTACATGAAATGCTATACTATATACTCTATACTTGAATTACAAGCCATCACTTACGAGGGTCTCAACACACACACACACACACATATAAAGATTTTTACTGATATATCATAACTATTTATGACATGCTATACTATAACCTTTTAGACATACTACACTACGCTTTTTTGACTTCTACCAACACTTTACTTTTAATGACATGCTATACTCACATTTTTTCATGACGTGATATACCAAATTTATATGCTATTATTACTATAATATCACATTTTAACACATTTTCTTGAAATACTATACTGACTTTTATAAGTATTGTATTGTGACTTTTTAGTGACATGTTATACCTTGACTTTTATATGACCTTCTCAACTATGTTTTATTTTGACCTACTGTACTATTTCAGTGATCTCGTCATGTCTGTATCCCCAACACCTGCATCATATACTTGTAGCAACAGAGAGACTGGACTTGTTTAATATTTGAGACACACATTTTCATTATTCATGCAAAAATCTCTACATATTCCGTGCAGTGTCATTCCTTCAGCACCCCCTCACCTTGAACACATACGTGGCCCCGCCGCCTCCTCCTCCGCCCCCTTTCACTTGGGTTTTGTTCACCATCGGGCCGCTCTGCTCCAGGCAGATCCTATTCAGCATGCCGTTGGACTGCAGCGAGGGAGAGAGAGAGATCTCAGTTCACCAAAGAATTGCCTTCATGCATGCCAGTTGTGTATGAGAGGGCGTAGCAGTTGCCAAACTCCAGCTGCTGTGAGTCTAAGACTTTAGCATTATAATGGTGAGCAAATACCAAGAAATATCCAGATGCATGATATGAGAGGCAAGGACCAATGTTCCCTTTGTAAGACAATTCCAGTGAGGCTTGAGTATTTACTGATTTCCTGTTCACATGACTGACTGTTGTAGAAGAGCTTCCTGTGCACATTGATGGATTCATGTTTCTGACTGAATAAGAAATCTCTGCAGCTGATTTTCATGCAGTTTGAAACCTGATTGGAGGAAATGAGTCCAAGAGGTTCGACAAAAACAAATTCAACATACTAAATACTGTATCGTTCATTATGTTGCAGATGTGTCAATAGATCCGGATTGTTGTTCTAAGATTTTAAAGGTTGTTTACAAAATGTATATTAAATGAATGTTATATCCAATTCTAACTGTATTACTATACTTGATAATATATTTAGGTTCACGTTACCTTTTTACTACATACCATTAACACGAATCATCTTTATTATCTTAACTTTATGTTGAAACAGTCAGACATGATTATACTGTCAATGTGTTTTCATTTAATTAATCATGATAATCAATAAAGTTAGTCAGTCGTCCAAGAAATACTTGAAGAGTAGACGTTTTGTTATTGGAGTGATGTTAGATGCAGATACTTTTTCATAGCTGAGGTTTTGTGAGTTGATGTCTCATGCTGACTGTCCTCCTCTGAGAGGAAGAGAGTTCTCCCCACCACTCAGTTTTTACTCATACACACAAACACACTCACAGTCGCTCATCTCTCCCTTGCTTCTCTTTGAGGGGCTGGGAGGCAGGTGGGGGTCGGGGCTTAAGTGAGTGATGGACAGGTAGAGGGGGTACAAGGCAGTGCATTTAAATGTTCTGAGAGTCTCCCTCTTAGCCTGTTCTGTCGTTGCAGCTTCTCCTTTTTAGATTGAGCTTGTGTCGGACAAAGGTGTGTGTGTGTGTGTGTGTGTGTGTGTGTGTATGTGTGTTTGTTTGTGCTTGAGGACCTGCGTATGTCTGCGTGCACGGCAGAAGGAGCGGGTATTTGTAAGTACAGGGGGGGGCAAAATGCTAGGTGTGAGAAAACACAGTTCTACAGCACAAATCACTTTCAGGGCGACCCTTTGGAGAGAGTCTCTGTCTCTCGCTGTCACAGCTGGGGGGGAATAAGAGGAACCTTAATCGACTTCAAACTCCCTTTGGAACCACAAAGTCCCTCTCTGCTGTCTGACCTGAGCACTTCAACACACACTGTGTTAAAAACTAATAACTGCCTGCTAAGCTACACATTCTACCTCTTGAAAACAAAGCCAGTAAACACAACGGGACCTAGAGCTGCCTCATGAAGGTTGTTCTGACTTTAATCTATTTTAGTAACTTTCAACTGCCAACACTATTACTTCTACGGTGTCACCAGTACCGGTACCAGTTTGTTTGTAAACATATTGGCTTCTTTGAAATATGATAACCCTTTCAGATGAGTAGCTTTACACATTTTTGGAACAATCATTGTTTCGGCCATTATCGCCCGAGAGAATCAATTAGTAGGTTTGTGTACAGTCTTATGTACCAATATATGCAACAACATAACATTACACATGCATAGAGTGTTACATATATAGAAAGGATATAGACAGTTTATGAGTTTGTCCATGTTGAGCTACTGTAGACACATGGCTCTGGGGACTCACTCTGTAGATACAAAGGGTTCATTCTTAAGCAACCAAAATACGACAAAATCAGAAAACACACTACGAAGACATTCTCAAGCATCACATCTGAGTGATAGAGTAAAGCAAGCACAAGAGAGACGGGTGGTCTTGAGAGCAGATAGAGATCTCTTTGGGTATATCATCACTGCTTCGCAAAGTCAAGATCTTCACTTTCAAGATGTCCTGGCTCATCCACTTGGTCCAGTGCCTTGGGCTCTCTCCAATCCAGACGGCTCATTGCTGAACACTAACAAGGCCACTCTTGGAAGAGAGTTTTTACCAAATCAGCATCAGCAGGTGAAAATATCGGAGAACACTCTGCATGCATCATTGATGGAATGAGCCTTGTTAAGAAACTGAAAGGGGATGGAGAGATTGCTGGCGCTGCGTTGAACCCAGCGATGCATGAAGGAGGAAACAGTAAGAGATAGATGTGGCTTCTGATGTGTACTGGAATACACATCAGTCAAGAATGCTGAGAGAGGCAGTCATGGTTCAGCAATTATCACTCAATGGAAGAACATTGCCCAGGGACACAGTGTTGTGCAGAGAAAGCTGTTTAGATATACAGACATTCCACGCGGACCAGTGGAAGCTATAGCGGAGAACCAGGTAAAGCTTCAGGACAAGCAGCTATTTGCAACATGTGGAGAGGCTATTGTCTCAGCGATCTGCGATGTTGTTGAAGAGCTGAAATCTTAGAAATACCCGTATGCTCCTACGTGATAATCATGCCAGCCAGAGTGGCTATCAAACCACCGTTGTGAGCGAGGATACGAATGTCCTTTTTCTCGGATACTCTAAGAAGATAAAGTGACTCGTGTATCAGAAATGTGACAATCAGAATTGGACATGGTACATCAAGATCAGCAACCTTGCGCAGCCCCTTGGAGATGACCTATGTCTGGTCCACATGGAGATGCAAGATCTGCTGAAGCACTTGTAAACGAAAGCGGTGAAACAACATATACACACTCTGCTTGAGATTTAATGGGGACTTAAATTAGCAATTCAAGCTCCAACACCTTTTTAAACACAACTTTGTAGGCTTCCAGAGGCAGCGTAGGTCCTCAAGAATAATTGTATGATCAGAAAAAAAGCCTAGCTGTTTGTTACAATATAGAACAAATGTATACACGGATTGTGATTCTACCAGACGAGCCGCAGTGCGTTTCAGAAGCGTCCCAGAAAGCAGCTCTTCGCTCTGATCCACTAATAATAATATGCGCCGTTGTTGTTGGAGCCGAGGTGTGTTGCACTGAGCAGATCACGCCAGGTAGAATGACTAACAGTCACTTTATGTGAAATACAGATGCTGAATAATGATGTGGATTAATGTGTTTTTCACAATGCACAGCCACCAATATTTGATCCATGTCCTTCATGCTCTTGTAGGTGCACATGCCTTTACGGGTTGTGATAGAGTGCTTTTGCATGAACGAGGAACATTCAGGACGGGACAACAGGAGAGTCCTTTAAATCCCTGGGATCATCCTGGGACGCACCAGTGGAATTACACAGCAATATGGAATCATATGTCTTCAGAACATGAAGCATCATCTAGCCTCTGTGATGTGAATGATTTGCATTATACCTGCTGTGAAGTGGAATCCAGACTACTTCCCCCTTGCACGGACTGCTAACAGTTGCATATTCACCATGCCAAGACATGCCAGAGCCAAAAGACATGGGTTGACAACTGATGAAAAATGTATGCTTATGATAAATAGTATAAATATGTATAGGTCGTTTCTACATGTTTGGGCTCCTCACTCAAATGGATGAGAAATATCTTCAACTTATTCTTACAGGTATGCTGATGTCGGACTGGAAGTGGGGACCCTTATCATCAATGGGCCCTCTTGGAACTTATGGCCTGCAAGTGTGTTGGGACCTGCAAGCTCCCAGACTGCTCCTGTCTTGCCAACAAACTCAATTGCACAGAAATGTGTAAGCTACAAACCTGTAACATCAGAGGGAGGAGGAGCTGGAGGAGGATTGTAGAAGCTGACCAAAATACCAAACACTGTTCATCCTTAAACCTACAAAAAGAAATGCACTCTAATTCGTATGTAACTAACATAATTGTGAGCCAGGATGTGCAGGGCTGCCTCTCAGGTATTCAGGTGACGTAATATAAAGAGAGACAAAGTCTACATAAGGATGAGGCAAGGGTGGATAGATGGGTCAACGTAGAACATTCACCCAGGAGACCACTGTTCATGTCCAGAGTGAAACCTCGAGAACTTTGCTGTAGTTTATCTTATAAACCATTGTATGAGGATACGTCATACCAATTAGTTATGGATTACTTGTCTTTTTTAAGTGCTCTAACTGGGTAATTAACTGAGCAGATCATCAATAAGATAAGATAATACGTAGAAGATACTTCTGTTTCGACATACTGTAGCTGTCTTTAGTTTTATAACATTTCTTTCTTATTAATACAGAAATGTGTTATCAATATATCGGTATATATAGGTTGATTCCCCCTATCACAATGTCATCCTAAGGAAATAAAAACACTTCTTCATGCCACAAACTAACAATGTGTGAATTCCACAAAAGGAGTAAATTTTACTGCTGTGTTTGTCAAACAACTGAAGAATGATGTTGGTAATTTCCTCTTCTCAAAAAACGTTGGCACCTAACTCCTTTTCGCTCTACTACAGTGGCAGACAAGCCTTAGCTTTAAAGCGTGTGAATAGCCGATGATGGATGATATCATTGGGGACTAGAGGGATTGTGAGGTTTTTAGTCTCAGTGTTGAACTGTGGGGAGGAAGCACGGTGTGCTGCTGCCAGTGAAGTAACTCATAGCATAATGGATGACAGCCACCGCTGGCAAAAGAGCACAAGTCAGCTTCAGAGAGACAACGGGACATCACTGTGAGCTTCCATTGCAGACTCAAACAGTTGTTGGTGGCTGTAAAATGTTATGCTTTAGAGCATGGGTATCCAAAGTGAATCATTGTCCATTAGGAGAATTACCAGATTTTCAGAATGTCATAGCTATCCTTTTAAAGCCCAACTGTTTGTTTGCTCTGCTACAGCATAGGCCTACGTATCTGCTCTGAAAGAAGAAACCAAAAGGAGGACATTTATATATCTTGGTTTCATGATGGCATTCCCTAGTTTTGCATTAATTCAACGGAATAGCACTCCGCCTACGTAGATGGAGGCCTTATATCATTACAGCTAATCAGATCTTGCATACAGCAGT